AGCACAATCCCTGGGGTATCGGCTCGACAATGTTCTTGCGGTTGCACTCCTCTGCACTCACCTGACCATGACTCCAGTGCAACAAATGGAATATGGAATGGTGGCAGGGGGCTGGCGTTGTGCAACCGACTATGACGATTTTGGTTTGTGCTTCGGCAAGCAGCAACAGCACAGCCAAGCAAACGAACAGTTTTCACAGCCAAAAAGGATGTTTGGCTTTATAATTAATGATGGCATACATATGTATATGCCATACGCACTCTAAGGAGAGTGGTCGCGGGAGGTTCTCACACAACCATCACGCAACTGTAACTGCACTTGTTCGACTTCCACTTCCAATTTTCAATTTTCCATTTCCAATTGGAATTCCATTGAGGCGTAAAAGGATTACCTTTGCATGTGGACATGGACATGGCGTTTGATCAGCCGCCAAGACTTCCTACATGACTCAAACACACACGCACACACATATATGCAGATACATTCATAGATGCAGATACAGATACACAGACAGACAGACAGGGACGGAGCTAAATGTAACTGTAATGGCCATTGCCATGCCAATGTCAAAATCGTGTAGGTCCCCGCTCAGAACATGACAACTGACAAAAGCAACAAGCATCTGACGGACAGGCAATCTGACGGGGAGGCAAACAAACATCGGAATCAGCAGCAGCAGCAGCAGCAGAGTCTCCATCTGCATCTGCAACAGCAAAAGCAGGCAACAACAACATTTCAATTAACAAAAGAGGCATGAGCCAGAGAGGGTGCCAGTTAGTGGGGCACAGATGAGGGAAGAGGCTGCTAGGCAACAGCAACATCCCCGTCGTCGTCTAATCGCCGCCTGTCAAAATAAAGTTGTGTGTTGCATCACGGGAGAATCTCCTTAGACAACAAGACACAAGGCCACACTGAGCGAAATCAATGATGCACTTGAAGCAGAGTTATATAAAGAATCTACCAAAGAATAAGAGGGACCTGCACATGTCAGTAAATACTCTCAGGCTCCCATTCTATTCATAAGCACTTGAAACAAATTACACCTTAAGAAAATTAAATGAAGACGCCAATGGAGTACACACTCTCATGATTGAGGCAGTTCCTAACTTGTCCCATTACAAAACTGGAGTGACAGTGGCATATAAATGGAACGGGCACTTATTTTCCTGACTTCTCTCAGTGCAGGCTCCGCCTGCGGCTGCCTGCATTCATGTGTATCTGCTAAAATGCGCAATTAAGTCATCAAATGTTTGGCCTGAGTGTCCAAGTGTCTTGACACAGCAGCAGCCGGACGGACCGATAGACAGGCAGACCGACTGACTCTGCAACCAGAGCCAGAGCAGTGCAGCTCGCATTAGACTAATGCATTTGGGTGCAACCAGGAAGCCACTATCCAGTGCCAGTCCCAGTGCCAGTCCCGTTCCCGGTGCTGCTGCTGTTGTTGTTGTTCACCCGAGAGGGAAAATGCTAGAGCCGAGCCCCAACCCAACTTTTACTATTTAAGAGTACTGCGGCCAACTGCTAATGAAGCCTGAATGGAAGACTCGCCAAGACTGCGAACAGGATCTTGTTAGAGCGTCTGCACAGAGCAAAAGAGAACCGTTAGAGGCGGCTGCAAGTGGCAGCCCGGGCTCCAATTTATCAAGTAGAATTGCTAGGGCCCAGAACCCAACACCGACCCCAGAAACGCGGCCCAGCGGCGTCTCATTAACGCTTTCGAGTCGCGTAGGCGTCGAGACATATGGGAATGACTTCGGTTCGGTTCGGTTCGGCTTGAGGATTGATGTTGACGATTGTGTTTGAATTGACCCCACTCACGTCCTCTCTCCCGGACTATCCGAACTGGGATCTGGGATCTGCGATCTGTGAGTGCTGCCGTAGGTGGAGAAGGTCTGCTGGCAACAGCAGGCAACACGTGTTTTCTTAGCTAAATTGCGATCGGGGATTGGGCCATGAATAACCAAATCCAAATGCATTTCGGTCCGGCTTTCTCCGCAGAGTGCCGTGCTGAAGCTGCGACTGGGGACTGCGGACTGGAGCTGGGGTAAATTAATTTGCGGAAATCTCAGCTCGACTCGACTCTTCTCGAGTGGCTAAAATATTACAAGAAAATCACGATTATCAACTTGACAGAGACCTGTGCGGGCGAGCCAGCACTTTCACAAGCTTCAAGCTTCCGAGTGACATTTGTGCCAGTTTGCTAAATTTACATTTGATTCTCATTAAGTCCGACGCCCGCCTGATTGATGGCAATTTCTAAAATACATTTTTGGGGGTTTTCTGACCAAGCACAAAATGACACATCAAGTGCGGTGTGTGGGCAGAGGCCAAGAGCTCTGCCATTACATATTTTGGTAATTGTCTGGGCCAGATCGGAGTTGCCACAATTTGGCAACACTCCGACTCAGTGAGGGGCATGACAGCACACAAAAATGTTTCTCTGTCTGCCTGCCCACCTCTTTTGAATGGACAAAACGATGGCCATTAAATTAATTACATTCGGCTGCTCACTCCTCCATTTTCAATTAAACATAAATTACGAAAATTAAACTGGGCAGAGAGCCAAACTGGTTATCGCCCAATGCCGGATCCTGATCGTGGCTAGAACGCTTAACTTCGCTTTGCAGCCTCAGCGACCTCTGCCACTGCCACTGCCTCCGCCTCCGCCTCTGACTTATGGCCACTAAATTGCTTCTACGCGCACACTAGGTATATGTATATGGATGTATGCTGGGATCAAGCCCAGTCCCAAAGCGAAGATAATCACAATCAAGCCGTGAGGGAACTGGCAATATAATAAGCTTCCAAAGCAACGCCCTTCAATTTGCCTTCCCCCGCCGTTTGTCCCGCCCCTCCCTCTAGCCACCCATAGGCTAATTTTATTTGCGGTTTTCGATTTTATTTTATAAACACATTTTCTCCTCGCTACAATGCCTTTTCTTTCTCTTTCGTCTTTCAGTTTTTTCGTGCGTTTTTTTTCGATTATACATAAATTGAATTTCCCCCAAGTTGGGACAAAATCAATCAACTTGTCTGTCTCTTCTCCTCCCCTTCTTCAATCCAATTCACTTGTAAATTTTGTGTTTTGTTAATGCGTTTTATGGATTCCCGATTGGGTGTTGATTCAATAAAAGTTTACGAGTAGTTCTGAGTTGCCAGCACCTTTGAGACAAAGGTACGAGTGTCTTCTAGAGTTGGATAGTTATGATGCCTTTTGTCTGGGTTATACAACGCTTGCTCCAAAGATTGTGTCACTTTCTGGCTTCGTGAGAGCAGCTTTTGATTGCATTCATCCGCTGACAGCTAAAGAAATTGCTCATACGCCCCGTGAAAAAATTAATTAGAAAATATTTTAAAGAAGAAAACTTTTAGAGCGGCAGCGAGAGGAGCAGCCGCAAAGAAATATTAAAGGGGCGTTACTTGATATGTCTGCAAATCAGTTAAACTCGGATTAGTCCCCCTTCCTCGTTCAGTTTGTCGGCCTTTTTGCCATTTCAATTAAAATGCCATATATCATGGCGGAAAGAGCTGAGGCCAGGCTGATGCTGGAGCGCTTTCGCTTCATCTGCGACTACAGCGCACATCGAATGCAATTAAAATCAAATGCGTAGCTCATTTTGAAATCAAAGCAAATCGTAAACCGATAAGCCATGGGTGGACCGGAGCCTGAGACCACCCGGGCCTTCTTTTTGCCAACTTCAATTAGCCAGTCTCCACGAGAGGAGGCTAGCCCAAAGAGAAGGCCGCCGCCGACGCCGACAGACTCTATTTATTTATTTCATTGTCCAGACCCCGAAGGGGGACTTGGGGCTGTAGAGCGGATGGCTATGCAAAGTGTTCTCGGGGACCATGGCCATGCGCTTAATTACGCTTTAAGTAGCCGCCAGTCAATATTGATTTTGGTTTATTTAAACTGGAAACTTAATAGCCCCAACTGATTGCTAATGGGTCGTGTGGATGCAAGGGCAAGGGCCCAACCACACAACCGACAAGAACTGGAGTCGGCTCCGATTACCGAGCCAGTTTCTGGGCAGGAATTTATGCCGCACACTTTCCATCAATATTTTTATGACTCGCAGCCAGAAAGCCAACCACCAAGAAACAAGAACCAAAAAGAAGTGATTAACTTTGGAAATCTAATTAACAGTTTGTGCAGATTTATGAACAGAAGTCCTCGCGATGCAAATGAAGATGGAGCAGCATCCAGCGATGTGAGCTAAAAGATACACGAGATCTGCGAGATACCAAAAACCTTATCGATGAAGGGCACTCAGTCATGCGGCAGGAGAAGAACTCAATTTATGGAGACGACACATGGAATTTATGAGAGTGCGGATCCCGGATCCCGGCCTGCGTCTCCTTCCAGGCCAGGAGGCAAACACAATGTGACAGGGAAGAGAGGGGCGTACTGGAACTGGGGGCTGGCCACGGCCACTGGACCTGAAGTTGTGCCAACTTTGCTTAAGCCCCGAAGGAAAAGGGCCAACTGCTGTTGCCACTTAGCTGCATGCAATTCATTTGCCAGTTAACAAAACTTGACAAAGATGCAACAGGGAGGCGGAGCAGCCAGGAGGAGGTTGGAAGAGCACGTGCTGGCCAGCAACTTGATAAATAACTTTTCGGTGTCAGTTTTGCAAATAGTTGGGCATTAATAACACCTTCTTAGCGAGTCCAAAGAGTCGCCTCCAGCTGACAGAGCTGAAGAGCCTCTTAAGGGGGATTATATCTCCAAGATCTCCCCGTCGCTGACCTGCACAGTCTTTACTTTCAACACAACTGAAACTGAGATGCCTGGCTATAAAGAGTCCACTGATCTGTTGCGGATTATACCCTGTATGAGTATTTTTAGTGCCCTCAGAAAGGTATACCCGTATAATGCTTACAGGATGTCTAAGATGGAAAAGAGTTTCCCCAACTGCCGAGCAATCAGTTTTCAGGGAAACATTCAGCTCTAATTATTAAAAGGCAATCTAGAGTCGCGTACGAGATTTTAGCCTCCATTACAGAACCTGTAATCTGCAAAGCAAATATCAGCATGTCATTTCCTGCTTCATCTGAACTTTTCTCGTAACTTTGGCCCAAATTATTTTATTGAAAAAGCCATCAAATATGCGTTTGGAGTTATTAGAAACAAAAGCCCTCTACTGTTGCTCAATTCGGACTCAGAACTGGACGCATATAAAGCTATTAAGGAGCCATTAAATCGGGTCATAAAGTGGTTCCCACTCTCCAACTAATCCCCGATTTGATGGCCTCTTAAAACCGAAAAATGTAAAGCTCATCAAATGGATTTCAAATTAGTTCCCCCCCCCCCCCCCCCCCCGCCTATGGCCAAGAGTTATGGCCATTTAGATAGGCCAAAAAGAAACTTACATTTTGGCTGCTGCTGCTGCTCTGACTGTGACTGTGGCGGTGGCCGTGGCTGTCGCTGGCGGCTGTGACTGTGACTGTGGCTGTGGCTGTGGCGGCCTCTTTGAGTGGCCATCAAACCTGGCCAATTGTTCTTCAATATCGCTTAGCTGGATATCGTCGGCAATGGCCTTATTGAAATAACAGAACGTATCCTTCCTGTCCGCTTTGATTAGCTGATCCGTGTCCTTGTTGTTTAGCCAAAGCGCGTTGCGGTTCCGGCACAGATTCAGATTGCGCAAATCACTAACCGGCAAAGACATGGCCAAGGATCGGTTGGGCAGACCCTGCTGCATCTTGGCCAGCTGCGCGGGACTCAGGCTGCCCGTCAGCATGGCCACCTCCACGTCATCGTCTGTCTCGCCGTTGCAGGAGATGCCCGAGGAGTGGAACTGCTCGTCGCTGCTGGGCAGCTTCTGGCTTTGATTCTGGCTCTGGCTCGCATGCTTCGAGTGTGATTGCGAGTTCGAGTGGCTCTGGGCCACTGCCATGGCCAGGCTCGGGGCTGGCGACTCATTGGGCAGTTCGAGGGCTATCTCATAAGGGGCTAGTGTGAGCTTTGGCTTCGGTTTGGTCTTTGTCCGCACGGCCGCCTTTACCACGCACTTGGTTACCGGCGAGCAGGGTCCGCGGTTCTTGGAGCAGTTAGACTTGGGCGGCTTCCGGGGTGAGAGCTTGGTAACTGTGGAGAGGCGGGACTGCTGAGTGCTCTTGTGCGGCTGCTGGGCCAATGCGGGCTGAACAGGATCTGGTATCTCCCTGCTGGCGGCCCTCTCCCGGCTGGCCACTCTCTCCCTCTCTGCGGACACACCACGGCGGCGACTCCTTCGAATGCTGGGCATATTCCGCGGGAAGAGCTTGCTCGGATCCGCCAGGGAGCTCTTGGACAGGCTGTCGCAGCTCTGGTTGCGGGTGGGGCTGCCGCTGCTGGCCGTGGTGGTGGTGCTGCCACTAGAGATGGTAGTGGCCAGCACCGAGGCGCACTCGCTGATCATGACTATCTCGCGATAGTTCTTGGACTGATCCTGGTGTCCCTGCGGCAGGCAGATCTTCCACCAGCGCTTCTTCGACAGTTTAGGTATCATTTAGAGGCTAGAGGCTCTCCCAATCGAATATCGAATTAGGCACGCGTCAATCACAAAGCAAATCAATCAATTGACACATTAACAGTACGAGGGAACACCTTAAGCAGAAAGCGCAACTGGTATGCAGCGGACGACAATTACTGTCGCCAGCAATTAACGGGCAATCCGCTTGCTCCGATTACGTGCACTCGCGAATCGGTGAGAATCAATCGACGTGATGTCTGATCCACAGCGACAGATCGCGCTCTCTATATCGTATATCGTATATTGTATATCGTAGCAGCACTCGAACCGCTCGCTTCGAGGCCGCTCAAACAACTGAAGATCGCCTCGGAGTTGGGCGCACGAGTAGAAAGTTGCTGGCCTGGCCAAGACGGCCGCGAAGAACCGGGCTTGGCGCTGGCTCTGGCTCTGGCTCTGGCCAGGTTGGTGCAGGTCAAACTCACCACGAACCCACCTCAGCTAACTCTCCCTCTCTCTTCCTCTCTCTCTCACTCTCTGGTGGACTTGGCTGTAGCAAGTGCAGGTAGCACAGGTGCCGCCTGTCGCCTGAGTCGAGTCGAGTCAACTTTTGAGTCGATTTCGAGTGGTTTGAGCCACGTTCTGGGCACTTTTATTAGCCAGTCTCCGCAGTGGCAGATTTCTGAGTTGTGGATGCAACTGCAGCGGCTACTGGTTGCCTGCCTCGCTGATTGTTTGGTTGTCTTCAGGCCATTTGACACATTTCAGGCCGCTTAGTGATTGACCCATTTCAAGCAGCAACCGGACTCCGGACAGCCACAGGAGGGTGGAATCTGACGGATGATGGCGCATGGCCTAAGCGGAACTGAGTGAAGCGTGTGGCCTTTGGGCGGTTTGTTGCCACATTAGCAGGCGGCCTCATAGCCGGTCATTATGCTGGTGGCTAAGTGAAAATGTGGCAATCAGGTAGAGGCCCCCATCTTGGGTTGCCATTGGGAAATAACCAATGGAAAATAAGTTGCGCAAGGAAACAGGCCAATCAAAGGGGTTTTTATATGCATTTTAATAATAGAACAAATGCTGTTCTACTAAAATATTGTTTATTATTATTTGCATCTTAAGTCTGCCACAACTTTAACTAATTCCTACAACTAATTGCGTTTTTAAAACATTTAGCAAGAGGGAATAAACAACTTTGAAACTTACTCTTAGAACTTTCCCAACAGTGTTGCCATTTCGTGAGTCGCTTCCGAGCAAATTGTTTTGCCAACTGTAATGAGAGTCAAGAACAAATAAATTAATTTTCCGCATTTCGTGTCAAATATTTGTTCTCTCTTTGTGTGCTGCCAGCGAAAAGAGTGATGGACGAAATTGCCCAAAAGTGTTGCAACTAATTGAGAGGACGACAGAAAACATTAAACATGAAACGGCAACTGGAAAATGGAAAATGGAAAATGGCGTACAAGACAAACAAAGAGAGTGCCAAAGTATTTTAATTGCCACGAGATGCCCCATCCGCCTCTTTGCCGTCTTGCTGTACCCGCAGAAGAGGGCGTCAAAACTTTACTTGACAGTTGAAACAACTGAACAATTCATGAAACAATTTTGATTAAAAGTGCGACACGCAGTCCACAGTCGTAGAAATGTCAGCGAATGTAGTTGGCAGCTGCCAGAGTTGCCAGGGAACGTGCAGAGCAGCACAGAGCAGAGCAGAGCAGGACTCCCTCCGTGGCATTGGCCAACAGGTAAAAGTCAACGTCATCGTTCAGCCATAGCACCAGGAAGAGCAGGACGTAGTCCCCACGTAGAACTGTAACTCTAGTAAAACAACGAGGATATTATCCTCCGACCCCCTGTAGGGCTCGTTGCAGAGGTCGTAAAAGTTGAGATTTGAACGCGCCACGCCACCGTACACGTGTTAGTCGAAAGTTGCAAGGGCTGGTTGCGGATGCGGACGGAATGGGAGCTCCGTTTGGCACAGCTGACGCCACTGCGCGATGCAAGATGGCGCTATAAAGCACTAAAAGTATTAAAACAATTTACACTTTGTAAAAAAGCGAGAGCAACAGCAATAACACAAACGGTTGTGCGGCTTGTACGCAGCACGTGTCTGGTTGGTGCGCCAGGGGGTAGCTGGATTCTTGTAGTTGTTCTTAGTGTTTTTCCAACATGGCGCCCTGTCATAATCATAACTGTATCTCAGCGGGACCATGACAACAATTTGAGAGTGTGCGAGGGAGGAGCGATATAAAAATACGTAAAATCAAGGCTGCTGCTGTTGACAATCGCGTTATCATAATTCCTTTCAACTAAATTCAAATAGAATTTCCCGCCTATTTGCATAAACAACGTGAACGTGAAAGTCGTAAAGTGAAAAATTGCAAAATATATATGTAAGAAAATACGAGTGTGCGAAGGGAAAGAGAAAGGAGGAGGCGTAAGTACTCGAATGGGGCGGACGGCCACAGAACGCGGCCAGAGTAAAGCTGCAATTGCGCGCTCAACGGTGAAGGTACAGTGGAACGAAACAACCAGAAATCATGCCAGAAAGAAATATGATTTTTCCACTCATTATCATCTCCTAATGCATTTCTTATATTCCATGTTTCGAGTAGGATTGCAGGTACCTTCCAGAAAATATCAAAATTTCATTCTGGCTTAACTTTTTTCCTGTGCGGTTCTTTTTCCAACCACTGTAAGCCCCTTCATGCAATACTTCCATTACATCCGCCCGAGCAGCAACAACAGGGAGCATTTATATGAAAAAACAGAAAGAGAGATGCGTACCCCCAATCCGCTTGCCAATCTCAGTGGCAGCTCCTCCTCCAATCCGCCAATCCTCCTGCCGACTTCCTCTTAAGACAATAAGCACAGAGCAGGCGGATGCTGGAGGGGCAAGGAACCAGGAGAAAGCAGCAGGAGATTCCACAATTCACCCACACATACACACACACACACACACTCGAAACAGGAGCTGTGTAGGCGGCAAATGTTTCCCTAATGATGACGTCCCCGCCGCTCCTGCTGTCACTCCTGCTGTTGCTCCTGCTGCTTATGAATTGTTGTAGCTGGCGGGGAAATGTGGCAAAAAGTCTGAAGTGTTGCCCCATAGAAGGCGATGAGGGGCGAGGAGGCTTCGTAATATTTATGAAAAATATTTTTGTACGAAAGGAAAAGACAATAGCGGCAGCGGAGAGTGAGAGAAGCGAGAGAGAGTGTGGAGCGGTGGAGGTGGTGTGGCAATGCAATGATTACGTTGATTTGCCAAATGGCGTTGATGACAGTCGGCCGTTGAAGGGGCTACGCAGAGAGGGATGAAGACTCTCGTACCATGGGGAGACTACGTGAGTTTACTGATTTTTAATTAAAAAAGGAAAAAATAAAACAAGAAGAAGAAGAAGCGGAGGAGACACCAAACAGCGGGAGAGGGCCAAAAGAAGAACGGCGCAAAAAAATACAGAGAAAAAAGCTCAAAGTGCGCGTCACAAGGTTTCCTTTTGTTAATCGACTTGATTGTAAATATTTTCTTGCTTCCCCCTGGTGGCACACACCCTGTGCGCTGTACCCTGTACCGCTCCACCCATGCTGCTCCGGTCCTTTGACTCCCTTCGTATTTGACTGCGATTGTTTGTCTTTGGTTCTCGGATTGGGACTGGGCCTGTCTCTGGCTCTGGGAGAGGGTCGGGTCGGATGTGTAACTGGGGGACCATCGACTGTTGCTGCGCTTCTAACGGAACATTCACCCAGTTCCCCTTCCTCCCACCAAAACCGAACCCTCGCACGTCTGCACCTGTCGCCTTGCCTGGGAGCGTGAGCGGGTTCCCCCATGAGGAGTGTGTTGCAACATTTGCCTTTGTTGTTTATGGCATTGTTGTTGCCACGTGATGCTGCCAGTCGTCGTCGTCGCCGACGCTGTCGTCCTTCTTGTCGATGGCGACAGTTGATGCGTGCCGCGTTTTTTTTTTGCTGTTGATTCTTCACGCCTCCGAACGGGGACGGAGACGCAACACAGGTTTGTGTTTTTAATTTGACAAACCTTTGGCGCTGCCCCAACTGCTGTCAGCGGCAGATGAGCAAGATATTTCGACTTGGAAATGGTTGTGATGTTACCATGCTCAACAGGGATATGGAGTATCGCTAGTACGGTGTGTTGATGAGTGAAATACTTGAAATTCGTACTGTCTGGTCTCCCAGCCTGATATTATTATTATTTTTCACTATTTTATTCGCGATAAGTACATAAACTTTTTTCACCACAGATGCTTACGCACGACAGCGGCCGTTCTTTCGGTTCTTTGTCCCGCCTTCTTCGTTTCTGCAGCTACAGCATTAAAGCTCTTCTCTCGCGTTCTTTCCATCCATCGTGCTCGGAAGCAGCAGCCCCACGCTCTCCTTCTATCACTCTCTCTCACTCTCTCTCTCTCTCGATCTCTTGAAAGCTTTGCCCATCAGTCTTTGCTATTAATCTTGAGCTGATCTTCATAGCCATAGTCGATCTATCGTTCGCTTTTGTTTACCAATAAATAGAACATACATATGTACATATGTATACTCGTATTATTGCATCTATTACAAGTTTTGTATACCCGATACTCAAAATGGGTATTGTGATATATTAGATTTGTGGTAAAAGTGTGTGTGTGTAACGTCCAGAAGGAATCCTATTCCTGATCAGCATCAATAGCCGAGTCGATTGAGGCATGTCTGTCTGTCCGTCTGTCCGTCTGTCCGTCCCTATTAGCGCCTATTGCTCAAAGACTATAAGAGCTAGAGCAACGATGTTTTGGATCCAGACTTCTGTGATATGTCACTGCTACATGAATATTTCAAAACTTCGCCCCTCCCACTTCCGCCCCCACAAAGGTAGAAAATCGGTGGCATCCACAATTTCGACGATATGAAAAAACTAAAAGCGCAGATTCGTAGAAAATTACCATATCTTTTAGACTGCAGAATATAAATTTGATCGTATTATTATTATAGCCAGCATCAAGAAAACAATTTCATTTTTTCTCGCCCTGTCTCTCTCTAACACACACGTAGCATAGCCGGCTTGGCATAGAGTAAAATATTAGCGCCTAGATCTCAGAGACTATAAAAGCTAGAGCAACCAAATTTGGTATCCACACTCCTAATATATCGAGTTTATTTCAAAATTTCGCCCCCGCAAAGGACGAAAATCTGGGGATATTCACAAATCTCAGAGACTATTAAGGCTAGAGTAACCAAATTTGGTATCCGCACTGCTGTTAGATCTTACTATAAAACGTATATCTCAAAATTTCGCCCCACACGTCACAATATTGAGGATACTGAGGATAATGACCATCTATCCGGTTGCTGAATCTGGATCAAAGCGGATAATTTTTATAGCCAAAAGGAACAAATCAATTTGCAGGGGCTACGCAGCGCCCGACGTCACGCTCAGACTGATTTTCTGTCTCTCTCGCACGCACTCTTTGTAGTGTCGTTCAATATTAGAGGCGTCTGCCGGAGGAGAGCCAGACTGACTAAGTATCGGGTATAAACGCAGAGCTGCGCAGCAACTCACAAACGTTCCCCCTCGTTTTATTTAAAACTTCAACAGCTATTCAAACAGTTTAACACTTAAAATATGTACAATTTGTTCAAAAAATACACTATCGAATCTAGTCATTTAATCCCTCAACTATCCCGCGAATCGACTCCTTAAGGTAATGAAATTAAATAAAATGCTGAATAGGTTGTATATTATGCATACACAAAAGATAGAAAGCAACCATTTTCCCAAGTTTTTTAGTAGATTCGATAGAGTTTTATAAGGTCTATGCTTAGTACATGTCTATGTTTTATCAAATTTTTAGATTTCATAATGATTTTTGCCTAACCCAGTAAAATGGAAAAAGCGGCGTAACATCAAAGTATTCTAAAGCAAGTAATTTGCGTATCGAGTATTTAAACAATTAATTATCTCTATTGGTTTTTTTGTTAATTTAATTAAGTACCGAATGGGAACGTACGGATCGCGAAATACGATTTTTCCATGTTTTATTTTACTTTTTCACCTGACATTCTCCCATAAATCACTTCATATTTTCTTGACAAACAACCAAGAAGGTTTATTACAGGACATCAGCGAAAAACTTTTATCATGAATCATCATAACATTAAGGAAGGATTCATAAAGGAAAACATGACTATAAAAATACCAAAAAATACGGAAAACCCAACTTTGGCTCATTTAAATGGGGTTTCAGATTATAGTTATTGAAATTAAATGCCAATTGGTTAAATTAGCTGAGTTTCAATCAGTTTAGAAAATAATACCGGGACAAAACTAAATATATCGAAATGTGATTTTATTTTCCATTAATTTTGTGGTCTCTCTTGACATTTCCACGGAAATGCCCAATTCATGCCAATCAGAAAGCTCCATTAAGAAGTAGAAAGACTTATTTGACTTATTTCCTTAGATCCTGCATGATACAATATTCCATGCTGAGCAGCCAGATTTTTGAGAGATTTGGCTTAGGGATGCTGTTTCATAGGTCAAAACAGCACCAGATGTTCATATAGACAGACGGCTGGGATCAGATTAGGAAAGGTTGCATTTCCTTTAGTAGCTTGAATTCTTCAGATATTTATTTTCTGTTGCCTAGTTTTGGGGTGGAAATTAGTTGGAATTAAGCGAAATGCAATGACAGCTATTAAATCAACATTTCTTGCCATATTGTTTGCCCATTTGTCAAACAACTTGTTGACAGGCCCAGGTAATTAGCCAACATTTTTTTTGTATCTTGTCTATAGACTCGTGTGTTTTTTGTTTGTCAGTAAGCGAAAGTGAAAGGCGTCATTGTCCGTTGTCCGCGGCTGTTGCACATTCGATGATGCCACCAGATGGAAAATTCAGCACAAAAACTGTGATCTCTGGATGTGTGCACAACACTCAAAGGGGACATGGTCTTGGGGGTGTGGGATAAAGTAAATGTGTACGTAATTAAATGGCAATGCGTATAAAGCACACAATGAATGGCACTGGAGAGAGGACTCTGGACTGGGGACTGGGGACTGGTTCGATTCAACACCCTCAATTAGGAGACGTTGACACGGACAAACAGGCAAACAAATAAGCCGTGAGCCCCGGGGCACATTTCGGAACACAATGAAAAGTGCAGTGCAAAGCCATTGAAAACTTCACCCCAAGCCCTATGCAGAACCCCCGGAAGAAGTACAAACACTCCCCCTCACCCTGGGTAGAGCTTTCATGAAGAATTATGAATATTGAATGCCACCCTCCACCCCCACTCACTTCCTGTCTCTGCCATCAAATCAAGCGGAAAGCCTTCAGTTTGCATAAGTATTAATATGTGTCCGTATCTGTGAGTGTGTGTATCTTAGTTAATAAACAGTGCTGTGTGTGTCTGCGAGGGGCGGGGACGTGTAAATAATTAAATTCTTAATTATCTCCTGCCAGCAGCAGCAGAGGAACCTCGTAAAGTCTCATATAATACGAGTGTGTGTGGAGAGGTGAAGGCGTAGCAGCTCGAGGTTTTTCGGATTCATTCCTCTAACCGACAGTGTCACATTCACTTAATTAACTTTAATAATTCATGTGTGTGGCATGCCCAACTTTTGCTTCAAGCAGGTAGCAAGCCCACACCCCTCCTCCAGCTAAGTGGAAATAATGTTTTCCCGACAATGTCATCGCCACCCTAATGAGCGAATTAGTATTCATTATTAGGTGACGCCTCGGGGTGATAAGCTTCAAGAGACCTCTTCTCTTCTCTAATCTATTCTCTTCTATCATTTTTCCACGAGTACACGAGTACGTCTTGCATTTGCATAATTCCAGGGCTTATCGGCCGAGTGTGGGCGTGCCATAGCCCTCCCCTGCCCCGCCATTCGGTTGAAAAGTTGCCAAGCAGAGTGGCCAAATTAAAATAAATTGTAGTTCCAACGGATAGTTGTAGTTGTAGTTTGGTAAGTGGTAACGATAGAAGTGGGAATACCGAGAGCCGCCTGGGGCCATTGTCTGGGGACCGGCTGGGGGCTCGTCCAGATCTAGGAGGAACTCTGGCACAGATAAGCCAGGTGATTATAAATGCTAATAAAGGAGGTAATTACGGGATACTATATTTAATTTGTTTTATGTTTAATTTGTTGTCGTGATGGAATTTCACAGTGTCAAAGAAAGTGAGTTGTAGACAGCTTTTAGAGCTGTATTACTATTTAAACACTACTATTTATCACAGAATTTTAAAGAATGGAAAAGCTGAAAATTTAAAGAAATTTTTATGGACATAGAAAACTTTCCAAAGAATTCTGAAGTCCCCATTCCAGTAGCCCTTACTCAACAAAACGAATTTTCAACCACTCCGTGCTGTTGCCAAAGTCTAACCCTTAGCTAAACTTAATTTCCGACTCCTGCCAGTTTTATTGTTTCCAACATTAATTCCCATTCAACGCCTTTTACGCAAGTCAGAACCCCGTCAATTATCCTATTGTACTCTCAGTATCCTTGGCTGGATTCTGATTTCAAAGCCAAGCAGGAAGCAGGCCAAATTAGGCATTCATATCACATGACACCTTCCTGACTCATTACCATGACCTTCATTGAAGCAGAAGCAGCACCTCCGCCTCCGTCTCCACCCCGTAACAATTAGACGCCCATCGGTCCATTGTTGGACTAACATGGCCACTTGATTGTCAGTTGAGACCCACTTGGACCTGGACTTGGAGCTGAACTTGAAGTTCATTACGCTTACCCGACTCGGCAACGGGAAGCCCTTGTCTTGGGCTTGGTCTTGGTCTTGGTCTTGGCTGCGAGTTTGTTGACTTCTAATCCAATTAGAAAATTTGTTGTGGCACGTACTTTTTGTTGGACTTCTGGATGGACTTTCACTGGCTCGTTAAGCAATTTACGCGCTGAACCGAAACGAACCGAACAGAAATTTAATTCACAGAAAGACTATACGGACAAAGAGTCGAGCAGTGCAAATTCAATTTGTTAACATTTCAATTTTCAATTTTCACCTTCGTTATTCAATTACGCACGGATGCGGGGGTAAGCACACGCGACAGTCTCGCACTGGCACTGGCACTCGCGCTCACACTCCTGGCGGAGGACACGTGAATATTCATTAGGACACCACCGTTCTCAATCCCTTCTCAGGCCCAGAGTTCATGGACTGTCAGTCATCACACAAAGGCGAACTCAAGAATCAATCCAAGCGGAAACGGAAACGGTGCAGACGGTACGCGTAGATCAAACGGAACACGAGGGAAGCGCGTGCCAAAGGATGTCTGGGATAAGGATAGCTATACTCCGCCTGCACGTTGTGTAGTGGCGCGCTTGTAAACCGCAACTGAACTACGGACTCCGTTCGGAGCCCGGCTGTCTGGCAAGGACACGCTGCACGCTGCTTGGTGGTGACGCCAAGTCTGGCGTCAAACAAGTGCCATCTCCACCCGCGACAAGTGGGTGCGTGTGGATGTGGCACATTGTTTTGGTTTGCCCCATAGCCGGCTTCGAACCGTGTTGCATACGCACAGGCGCACTGCGAAAATCGCTCTTCTGCTCTGCAAAAGAGAGCCGCAAGAGATTTCTCCGACGCTTTCTCTTCGCTTTTTATTTTGGTTGCTCGGATTTGTTGTTTTGATTGGTGGCGGGAATTGCCAAACGAATTATTCAGTTCGTTATCGAAAGCAATCAGAGCTGATCCGACCATTGCATTGGGGAGTCCTTGGGGCAAGGGAGCAACAACCCATTAAGTCAATTAAATGTGTATGAATTACTAACAGAAATATTGAATGGCTAAAAATGGGAGAGCTGATACAAATGGTAATCTTGTCGAACTATGCATTAAATCAAATATTTATTTAAAATATTATTTATGCCATTTAAAAATATAATAAAATATCTACATATATTTTAGATTTTTTTTTTAGAATCACTGCCATTTGCACTGTGTTCCCGTGCTTCTTCGAGAGTTACTGCGGAAACGGTTAATTTGCAATAGAAACGAGGGGGAACGTTGTGAGTTGCTGCGGACACCGCAACTCTACAGTTATACCCGATACTAAGTCAGTATGGCTCTCCTCCGGCAGACGCCTCTAATATTAAACGACACGAAATTCTGAGATATACGTTTTATAGTGACATCTTAAAGGAGTGTGTGTACCAAATTTGGTTACTCTAGCCTTAATAGTCTCTGAGATTTGTGGTTGCCTCAGATTTTCGTCCTTTGCGGGGGCGGAAGGGGGTGTGGCGAAATTTTGACACAAAACGGTCAAGGTCCGATATCACAAGAGTGTGGATACCAAATTTGGTTGCTCTAGCTCTTATGGGTTCTGAGATCCTTGAACTCATATTTTGCAATTGGCAAAACCGACTATGAAACCTGTGTGTTAGAGTGAGACAGAGTGAGAAAGAGTGAAATTGTTTTCGTGATTCTGGCTGTAATAATTATACGATCTGGTTCAGATTTTGCACTCTAGAAGATTTAGTCATCTTCTACGATTCTGCGTTTTTAGTTTTCTCGTATCGTCGAAATTGTGGATGCCACAGATTTTCGCCCTTTGTGGGGGCGGAAGTGGGCGGGGCAAAGTTTTGAAATATTTTTGGAGTAGTGACAGATCACAGAAGTCTGGATCCAAAACATCGTTGCTCTAGCTCTTATAGTCTTTGAGCATTAGGCGCTGAAGGGGACGGACAGACGGACGGACGGACAGACGGACAGACGGACAGACGGACGGACAGACAGACAGACATGGCTCAATCGACTCGGCTATTGATGCTGATCAAGAATATATATACTTTATCGGGTCGGAAACGATTCCTTCTGGACGTTACACACATACACTTTTACCACAAATCTAATATACCCCAATACTCATTTTGAGTATCGGGTATAAAAATGCAGAGTGTTCACAGCCTCTGTGAATATGTAAGCACCCTTCCATTAGATATCATGAAACTCAACTTGTTCATTTTTGTTAAAATTTTAACAAAAAAGTACAAGTCTTTAAGTCTTTACCTGTAAACCGTAATCTTGCAGAATAATTACCGCAGAGAAGGCTGCATTACTGTTCTGTGGGATACTGCATCCCAGTGCAAAAAAAAATCCACCCGAACTGACAAGTAATTATCAAGTGGTAAAGATTGTTGCGCTTCCATTGCAGAAGTGGGAGAAATACATTTCGAAGAGACACGACCACGACGCGATGAATCAACTGAGTTAACAAGTAAACGACTTCCCCAATTTATACTTGGATCTGAATTAATAAATAAACACAACATTATAAATATTAATTATTTTCTTTAATTTTAATAAAGAATATGTTTTTATTGATCAAATAATAATTTGCTTAAATTTTACTGTGCACACAAAATTCCGCTTCCCGTATTTCTAACATATACGCGGGAATCTACGTACTTGTACATTCAGACATATATGTATACGATATGATGTGTGAGACTGTTTACCCGGACAAACTCATTGACTGACTAATTGGCAATCAACGCACGGCCCCAGCGGGAGCTTCTAAGAGGCTGCATTTTTCAAGAAACTTTTTGAAATTTCATTCTCCCAGTGCAAGAAAATGCAGAAACATCTTCAAGGTGGGATATACATATAACATCACGATAAAATTAGCCTTGTAAACTAAACTATAAAACAATAAAATAAGTATTTAAATATAAACAGAGTTCCTTACTTCCTTACAGAGGTCCCCAGAGGACTACAACATTTCAGCTTCCTAGCTAGAGGGGTGAAGAAATCCCAGGATATACAAATATTTTATAATTTAAAAGCACCTCCCATAATATCCAACTCAAACCCTAAAAGGGCGATCCATTTCATTTCCTTCGTCAAAATTAGCCTTGGCATCAATTAAAATGGCCATCAATGGGCAATCCATCAATAAAAAGATCGCAATGAATGTAAATGAATGGAAATTAAAATCAATCAGTTTTAGTGTTAGTAAAGAGCCGGCAATACTCGTAATGCAGCCACTTAAGCCCCGATACCGAAACTGAGACCGAGACCAGCCAGGGAAAGTGCCAGTCAGTGGGGGAGAAGCAGAAGCGAGAGTGAAAGAAGGACAGAGCCTGAAGGACGACATTTATGCCACCCCAGAGACTTGGCCATTTACGATGGCTAGTGTCCTCGGCAAGTGTCGTCCTTGCGGCTGCCCCAGCCCCCAGAAAACCGCACACGGCCAACCTGAAGAGCGGAAGGGGCCCGAGACCAGGACCCGGATATCTTGTGGCCAGGGAACAGTTCCGCGGACTGCGGAGCACTGGTGTGAGGGAGACGCTTGACAACTTTGCTTAAAGTTATTTGCAATTCTTATAAATGTGCATGCGTTACGCACCGTTGCCCAATTACGTGTGGATATATCCTTGGAGCAGGGCCCCGGCTATGAATAGAAGACGAACATACTTAGCGGCACAGGCGCTGGCTGATGAAGGTGAAGCCTGCCGGGCGGACTTACCCTCGAGCCGAAGCTAAAGGTGCCCTTACCCCAATGGATTTGAATGATTTTTTCTTTCGTTCTCCTTTGGCTCTCCTCTGGATAGCCCTGTACCTTATTCCTTTATGGGGTGACTAGAGAGGGTGGAATTTGCGACAGTCTGACGAATTTGAAATTGAAATTGCCCCTGCAGATTGGCGACTTTTATTCCGATGGCCGATGGCTTTTATTTCCAGCCCAGCTCCCAGCTCCATTCAGTTCAGTGCCCTCCCCCGCTGGCACAGTAAATTAATGAATGTGTGAAAAACGTTCAGGGCAAATGCTCCCATCCAACCCGTCATAAAAGCCGTCTTCTATTAAACAGTAATAACGATTGCCGGAGTTCGAAGCTAGGATGTACTCTCAGACCTAGCTGTCGACCCTCCTCTCACAGGAGTCAACACTTTGTTCGCATGTGTCAGGCGCAATTTTACGAGCGGAATACTTTTGGCAAAAGTTTTTACGGCAACAAGCGGAAATGGCATTTTTACTGGCCATCTAAACAGTTCCAACCGTCTCCCCAGGCTCCCATCGTAAACCCCACAGAAATGCCGCACAGATTGTGTCCATGCACATGTCCGTGTCCTCGTCCTCGACCTCGTCTATGTCCAGCTGTTCGGGTTGGGATGCCAAATCGAGCTCGCCTTTTGCCTGTTCGTCAATGATGGGAAAATTGAAAACTATGAAGGAGTCCCCGTTCGCCCAAAACATGTGAGGGGTGGCATTTTCTGCTGCAATGGCACAAAAATTGATTTGTTGTCGGTTTCGATAGAGGTCCAGAGCCAGAGCCAGGGCCAGGACAGGGCCAGGAACAGGGACCGCACTCGGTTCTGATTCCGTTTTCAATCTAATTTATGGCCACTGCAAGTGCAAGTAAACATGTGCGACAAACGACCTTATGAAGCCAGAAACTTTTCCCCCCATAAGCTGTTAAATAAAAATACTTTTCTCTTTGCACAATTTTTGGTTTATTGGAATTTGAGTGGAGAGTAGAGAGTGGAGAGAGGCGAGAGGCGAGAGGATTGAACTGAGAACTGAGAGCTAAGAACTGGCTGCGAACTGGCCCAAGCGGGGCCTGGGACAGGATGTGCCGAGCTGCCTCAAAGATTCTTGTCAGCCACAGAAGCTTCTGCCATTTGTCTTCTTCGAGTCCGAGTCCGCTGTGAACCGCAGAACGTGTTGAGTGTTCGGCGGGGGAGAGGCGTCAGGGGCCAGCCAGATGGAACAGATACAGATCGTCAGTCAGTGATCGATTGAGCCGCATGTGTTATGCTAAATGTGTGGGAAGTTCACGTCGAATTCCCGATGCGCTTCTCAGAGAAGAACAATGGGAGAGAATGGGACTGAGAAGAAAACTCAAGCAGAAACAGGAAGGCGAATACAAGTATATTTGATCTAAATATCGGTGGTGCTTACTTTATAGATAGGAGACCAAGGCTAGTTCCTTAAGACTATCTACTCATTTGGAATTCCCTCAAAACAATCTACTTCTTCTCCTATACATTCTAGTCCAAATTGTTGGGCTTCCTGGCCATTTCAAGCTACTCGCTTCTCATTAACATTACTTACATATGCAAGATTCTCTCTGCGAGTGAACTTCTTTCGTGGACTTCTCATTAGCAGGAATTACGTATCGTATGCCTAACCCCCAGAGCTATGTCAAAGCTTAGCCCATGACATTGTCTGTACTTTCCACGAGTGCCTCTGTTTCGTTTTGTCTCCGTCTCTTTCTCGGTCTCTGTCTGTCCACCTACTTAATTATTTAAAGCATTCGCACAATTTTTCTCAAACATGTTTTTCTTATTCACTTAATTCACTTTTTTTCCTTAGCCGCACTGACAGACGAAGTATCTGAAGTTCAGGAACAGGTTGCCAAGATACTTAGTACACCCAATGCACACACACACAAAGCCAGAGACGCATTCAGATACTCACTGGCGATACTGGCAGAGGGGCAGATACATGGACGCAGAGATAGATAGCTGGGTTCGGCTGGAGCATTCCTTAGCTGGAAGCCTCACATTTATGCCAAAGCTAAGTGAACTTGAAGCCTTTTGCCGTACCTTTATCTGCAACCCGCGTATAAGTTGTGAGTTTTTTAATTGCAGTCTAAATGGACTTCAATGAATGCAACAGCAGGAGGAACGGAACAGGACGGAGCAGTGGCGACTCCATAGCTGGCCTCAGAGCTCAGTGCTCGGTGCTCGTTGCACGTTGCTTGGTGCTTGGAGTCCCTGCCCCCACCACCGTCACTACCTCTGCCACTGCGACTCCACTGGCGGCGGCAGTTTATCTTTTGATTGTTGCAGCTCCTCTCTTACAGCTTCAGCATTGGAAGCACTCGAAGGACTCTTAAAAGCGAAACGACGTCGCCTTTTTTAGTGAACTCAAGATTTTAATTACAGCAGAATGCTGCTCCTCCGCCGCCCCCTTTCTTTCTGTCACTTGAGTGGGCTGAGTATGTCTCTATTTAAGAGAAATTAAAAGTTCTAACCGGACGGCAGGATTTGGATTTCGCTGTTGCTCTTAATGCCGGGATTGATGTGCCACATTAAAAACGCCAGCAACTGGATGCCCGGCAAGCACTGGTGCTGGGTCTCTGGCCAAGATTGATGAAGCCACTGTAAGCCACAAGAGCTGCCGGGGAGCTGCGGCTGGTACTGGGGCTGCTGTCTCAGTGGCTGTTGCAGTTGCAAGGAGCACGTACTTTGTCTAACTGCCAATGCGGCATTCCCATCCTCCCATCGTCCAATCCCAATCCCAATGCCAATCGCCATCCCATGGCCAATGCCAATGTCTTGGCCACATGCCGCGCACGGCCACAATTCGTAAATTTATTAAACGTCAACACGGCACTGAGCCAAATAAACTTGTCTCACGACAACAGTCGGTTCTCGGTACGGTACCCCTGGCAACGAAGTCCTCCTTCCCCATCGATGGGTAGTGATGGGATGGGATGGGTTTGGATGGGATGGGAGAAGCGGAGAAGGCTGCCTGGCACGCAGCAAACGGTTAAAATTAATAAAGCATCTTTGCCTTGGCTGCTTCCTCCACTGCTCTGGCTTTCGCCAACCCAGCTAGGCAGAGGAAAGGAAGTGCAGATATATAGATAGAGTGAGAGTGAGAGAGACAGAGACAGAGAGAGAGAGACTTGGCGACCAGTCTATCTGGGACTCGTCTTACCATTTCCATTCGGCCACTGACCACTTTTTTGTATGTGTGTTCTCCTCTTGCAACTAAGCAAACAACTTCAATGTTGCCACAGACTCCGAGACCGAGTCCGAGGCCGATTCCGAGTCCAGAGACAGCCATAGAGTCCGTCGTCGTGTGGGCTTCTAACAGTGATATTTATCTGCGAGTGCAATTACCGTTGTATGGGCTCGATTAGGGTTCGGTTCGGTGGCAGAGACTCATAACTTGAATGTGAAAAGTGCAGAAAGCCCCGTTTGACATTTGAGAAATGTGGCGGCACACAATTCAGAGATTTACATGCAAATGCCGTAGCCCCCGAGTGAGAGAGGGCAGAAGGCTTCTCTGAATCGCTTGACAAAATGTTCCCATATCTCTGGATATTTCCTTTATTCCTGGATTACCTTAGCGACTCTCCCGCCTTTCACTTTGCTCGACCGATGCCATGCTGAGGCTCCCTTCATGATACGCCGCCATTTCCCATCCCTATATGAGCAGGGCATTCCAACAATCGAAATTCCTTATCTCCATGTAAATCTGCAGAAATGATTAGAATTTTTTAATAAAGCAAACTGCCACAGATGTGAGCTTCTTGCACCGCGACTTGTCGGCGGGGGTAATTGCCTCCACGGAGTCTTGTACTCCGTTTAGTTCTTTGTAATTAAAGTACGAAAATGAACGGGTAACAACAGCAGCCCCAACCAACGACCAACAGCTAGCGGCCAGAGCAGCCAGAGCAGCCAGAAGAAGATGGTCGATTAGGTCCCGGCCCCCCAGAGGAGGGTGAAGAATGGAGCTCTCGATCTCCCGCTCCATGCGTCCGTGGCTGCTTCTTGATGATCACGGTGATCAGCAACAGTAACAACATATCGTAATTAGACTAAGAAGCAATTTACAATTTCAACTTTAATCTTGTTAGTCGAATGCGACGACTAGCAGCTGAAAGTGAAGTGGAGAGTAGATCGGAGTGCCTTGCGTGTTCTGGGTCTTCCACTGGGGTGTGGCACATGCAGCAGCCACGCCTCTATCCCCCTTCATGCGGTACGAATGCTACGAGGGAGGGGGCAGAGAGCAAAGAGGTCAGTGTCAGTGTCTGATGTGGTCTTGGCTGGCGAAAAGAGGAAGGATTGAGTTGTTGGTTTTGGCCGTCTGGACTTGGACTTGGAATTCGAGTTTGGCTTGTACCCGGTCGTCTTCTGCCTCCTCCTTCTCCGTTCCAGCGACTTTTGTTGACTCTGTGACTTATGTGGCAAATTACAGCGCCTTTGGCTTCCAAGAAAGAATTGAAAAAGCGCCAAATTATCTGCATTGTGTTTTATTGCCACAGCAAGCTTCCTCGCTCCACCATCCTGCCCCTTCAAATGTGGCGCGTCATGGCGCCTAATTGAATTTCGGCTGGCTCGTCCTCGTCTCCATGGATCCTTGGACTAATCCCTGCCCGGCGTGTAAGTGATAGCTTTGTTTTGGCTTAAAAATGGCTGCAGAGAATAGATTCGAGTCGAGTCGAGCCGAGTCGAGTCGAGTCGGAGGCAGCCAACAATTAATTTCACACACAGACAGTGAAACTTTTTGGCTGCAACAAATCCCCGGCACTTTCCAACTTTCCCCCCAAGGCTCCACTCGAATCGAGTTGAGTTGGAGTCGAGTGGAGTGGAGTGGAATGGAGTCGAGTGTGTGCGGCATAGTTTTGTGTGCAGCTTTGCGGCTTGCGGAGGCAGCAGAGGGACTGGTGCCACCGATTTGGCTGCCCCTGTTTGGCAAAAACAATTTTCCGGCTTCCCCCGAAACTTGGCTGTTTATTGCTTATGGCATCATTGTGGCCCATTGTTGCTTGCCAAACTTAAATCCTTTTTAGTGCTTTGTTTATGAACTTGCATATAAATTCGGAAATTTTCCACAAAAGCCAAAAAGTTTTCCCTGCCCGGCTTTCCAACTCTCCTCCGCACTTTTTTGCGTATCGCATGTGGGATAGATAATCCTCTTTGGTGGCATGTGTTGTTGCATAAGCATTGGAAGCGTTGCTCGGAGGCATTAACATGCATCAAAAATTTCACAGATTTCGTTGTTCGGGTATTAAAATAAGCAAAGTTATTAGTGAAATTTCAAAAATTGTTGAGCTGTTCCGGCAGATAAATTTTAGTATTTATGAATTGGTATCTTTTGTGTAAATGTACCTAAATGTATAAAATAATCCGAATTTAGAAAGTGTTGGAAGGTTTGTTTTTTTTTATTTTGTAGATTGTAGATTTTTGGATACATTTCTAAGCTTTAATTTAGGCTTTGTTTTCTCAACAGCTTTGTAATCGTTTTATGGTAATAGCCATGAGAGGCAGCAAGGAAAGAGTGTGTTTGCAGACGTCTACCGGCTGTCAGTCGAAGAACCGAGGCACTGTTTATGACATTACGTTTTCCAACACTCACACCCAGCTCAACTGGAAGGACAAAATGACACATGTATTTTTCTCGCCAAACCTGCATTCTTTTTCCATAGGGCCGTCTCTGTTTTTGCTGTTAGTCAGTTAGCATATGGCCACAACCAACTTGATTTAAATTGTTTGTTGTTGTCTTGGCACACATTATAGCACTCATTCTGACGTATGTACATATGTATGTTTCATTCAAGTAATTTCACATCAATTTTCCAAGATGAAAGGGTGCCAAAATAGTTTCAACATGAAGTTGGGTGAGCTTTCACAAATTGATTACCTTTGCCTCTGCCTTGATTCCTCCGATCACCTCCTATTCAGACATAACCATTGTCCTGCTCTTGAGTGCCTTCTACGGTGGAGCCGAGGCGGTCATCGTCATCAAGCCCAGTCCGCAAGCCCGGGACGTCTTTGCGAATAATTTGTTTCTTACTCTGCTTCGACCGGTGCCACCGGAATCACCGGCGCAGCCTGTGGTTCTCTTCTCGCCGGCTTCGCTGCAAAAGTTCCTGGTCGCGTTCTACAACTTCACCTGCCAGGACCACCTGCGTATGCTGGCCGAGGACCTGTGTCTGATCGACGGCAACTTTTTTATGCAAAGTTCAGTTGCGGAGCTCATAGCGGGCCCTTTGCCGGTCCGCTTTCGCCAAGTGACTGTCGAACTGATAACCGGCTACATTGCACCCAGCAACGTACTGAGCTTCTTTGCGAAGGACTTCGCCGAGCTAGGCGCAGACATATTGGTCCGCAACTTCTTCATCTACGACGGCGACGAGATTGCCAGCAGCTTCCACAAGAGTGTGTGGGAGTATTTCAACATTGAGGTCCTGTCCAGGCACAATGCTGTGCTGCGAAAGATGGGGATCGCAGCGTCCGACCTGCAGCTCTACAACGGTATCAAGTTCCATGCCCATCTGGACGAGCAGTTCCGTTCCGTGGGGAAGTTCAGCTATGGCCAGGGCCGATTCCGCTTCGCGGAAAGATTGCTGGTGGGTCGGAAGCGTTTTCCGTGCATGGGGCTGGAGCTGCCGCTCGAAACTGAGAGCAGCCGTGGTCTCCTCACGCTGCTGCTGCTGATGCCTGGACCCAGAATGTCGCTGAAAAATCTGGAGGCGCTGATGCTGGGTCCGGATCAGCGCAACTATCGGGATCTGTCCAAGCAGTTGAGCATCACATTTGTTTCTGTGCGCCTGCCCAACCTGCAGTTTTCCGGCAAGGTTACCATGGAACGCTTAATGAAGGAGGTAAGTGGCTGTAGCTCCTGTAGCTGGAATAAGCTTGAAACCTGGGTCCCGTCCCTTAGATGAGCTGGCTGTTCGACGCGAAGCTGCCGTACCACGGCGTGCTCAATAACCAAACCACTCGCATCAAACGGTTCGTGCAGCGGATCAGCATGCGTATCCACGCTCAAGGTGGCTATTCCCAGTCCCCATTCGCAGGTTCGTGCCACGATCGCCTGCCCTTTGCTCCAGCGATTACCATAATGATGTTAGCTCAACCCGTCCTGCCTTCCCGCCAACAGGGCCCGTCAATCCATTGCACTTCTTCAACACAAGCCACACATTCGATTGCGCCACGAGCCCGTTCCTGTTCCTAGTTAGATCTGAGGATGTCATCTACTTCATGGGCCGCCATGACCGCGTCTCCGCCAGGTCCGGCGCATACCATGGAGGGATCTAAGAACCCAAGACTGCACCCAGCCGCTGTCGCTGCCGCTGCTGTTGCCTTTGCCAGTCGTTACTTTCATTAGGCCCGCCGCTTGCGCACTTGACAATGACGTATCTGACGAGGCATGTGAAAAATTGCAGATGAACAAAAACCAGAACCGACAGCCTCGGCTCCAGAACAACATCTTAAATTGGGTTCTCTACGGCTAACGCTGCAGTTGGTTGGGTCTCTGGGTTTTTTTCTTTCCTTTTCTTTTCTGCTGCTGGTGGATCCCTCTGTTTGTTTAAATGTTGCATTGTGCGCGAGAGTGGGGACTTGGACGGGGCCGGACCGCTTAAGCGTTCATTTGATGAACATTTTACAGGGTCCCCAACACAGATGGGTCCACTTGTTCGTCTCGCAACTGAGAGCCAGAGAGCTCAGAGCCAGACCCGAAATGACTGTGACATTCCACCGGGCAGGCTGGGAGCTGCGAAGCATTCCTTTGTCTTGGCCAATTGCGATTTGAATTCAATCAAAATGAGCCAGAGATGTGGAAACAATGCCGATAAATTGGCCCCTGGCCTGTGGCTTCTCTGCTTTATGTTTCCTGTTGCCAATTTCCACTTTAATTTCACAATTTGAATGCACGCATACACGTTCACATACACGTACTTCTCCACTCGAATGTAGGCTTGTCAGAAATGAATACATGAACTCTGCTGACCGCCGCCGCCGTTCCATAGCCAAAAAAAAGAGATTTATGGGCGCATGCGCCGCCGCTTACTGGCGGCCCTGCCTGCCTGCCCGGCCTGGCTTGGCTGCACTTTTCCTCTACTGCAACTGCGTCCGCATCTGCGTCTGTGTCTGTATCTGTGTCTGCTCCCGAGCCTCTATCTGTATCTGTATATGCCCTGCCACCAATTGACGTTAATTTATGGCACATGCACACTCGACTCGACTCAACTCAACTCAAAAAAACTCGGGGCCTAACATGGGCCGCAACCGAAAGCCAGCTAGAAGCAGAAACAAAAGGCCCCAGCGACTTATGAACTGCTTATGAGTATTTATTTTTATAGAAATAATCAAAAAGGCAGTCAAATTTATGGACCACATCAATGGACATGCCATATAAGGCGCGGCGAGGCTCCGATTGCGTAATCCCTGATCCCCTGAGTCGAGACAGGGCCAGGAGACCTCGAGACGCAACAGGACTGTCCTCAATCGGGAGTGGATGCGAGGCTTATCAGGCCTCTCTTAAAGCGCTGACATGTTTAATTTTCGAGCACCGACGATAAGAAGTTTGGTCACTGTCAAAGCAAAAGGCTTTAAAGGAGAGAGAGAGTTGATTTGAGAGTTTGAGAAAGATCACAGGTATTTTTGGGACCGTCTGGACAAGGGCAGAGAGAATCTACACCTACCAATTTCTAGAGGTTTCCCCCTCAATACGCTTAAGGTGTAAGGTAAACTTTGAGAACAGCCCTCGCGAAGTTTTTACCTGCTAAGCCACACGGTAAGCGACAGTCGAAAATCGCCCGAAAAATCCACTTTAAGTCGCATTTACAGCGACAAATGGTGGCAGCTTCTGCAGCACAAAATTGGATGGCCTGTCAGCGGCCCAGAAATGGGAATTATCAGGGAACCCAAGACGCGAAAATAACACTTATCGGTTGCTTAAATATTTGGCCAGGAATATGTTAAGCGAAGCGTTAATTGAAATCGAAGGAGCTTTGAGTGCCGCTTGACGTGTGGTCGTGGATACGAGCCGGCGTTGGGTATGACCAGGCTGTTGTTCAAGCCAGACTACAGTGGACATTGGCTTTAGTGTCACTTCTGGTCAAAAACTGTCCATTTGGCTAAGCGCCAAAGACATAATTTACGCCAAATGGCATTACTCGGTAGCACAGTGGACACCAAAGGTGACAAACCGGCAAGACTGGATTTCCACTTGGTGGAAAAGCCTGTTAACTGCCGCCCACCGGCTACCCCCACTCCCCCCACTTGATTGGTCTACAACTAACTTAAGCAAACTGTATGGAAAGCTGCTTAATTTGTCAATGAATAAAAGAAAAAAGGCTTATCCAAATTGGCTGCGTTTTGCAAGCGTTTCGCCAGCGTTTTGAGTGCGTTTTGTGTGCGACTTTTTTCGCCCCTGCCTGGCATCCTTTGGGCCCTCGTTTGCGCTTATCTCCGATGCTGGCCGGCAAACAAACTGCCAACAACTGTCGATTTTTTCAATCTGGACAGTAAAATTACATGCAAATCCAATTAAGTTGTTAACTCTTCGCTGTTTCAGCCCCCCCTTGCCCCCTGCACCCTGCACCCTACACACTCCACACGGACTCTCCCATTGTTTCAACCTCGATTTCGTTTGTTTTTGCAATTTATTTTAATTCTTTTGATACCTTTTCAGAGGGTATTATGACTTTTAGCAGAGTCTTGCCCTGTCAGAAGCGGAAGCAGGGATATAAATTCTTGATCTGCGGGGATGGATAACAATACGTAAGATACATATTCACATTATAGAGGTTGGAGCTGCGAGGATCGGATTACTATATATACCCCCAGTACAGCTGTTACTTAGCGATTTCCTTCATAGTCCAATACAATCATATAATTTTATCGACCATATCTTCCACGGGAAAGATGGATCTGAAAGGGTATCAAAAGCTTCGGCCCGCCGGCAATCCCCTCTCACTTGTTTCTGTACTGTTTTGGTCCTGGTTCGGCCGTAAAAAGAGACGGAGAGAGAGGCAGAGAGAATAAGTTAAGCTCTTTGAGGTCAGTGTGGCGCGCTTTTAATGAGCAAGTGCAAGGGAGAACGGAGCGGAACGGAACGGATCGGTGTTGTATGGGATGGGGATGGGGATGGGGATGGGGCTGGGATAGTCTGGAGGCTGGGGACTGAGGATTGGGGATTGGGGCATTGCCAAAGTGTTGGCATTTTTGGTCTCCGTCTCAGACGGGCTGCGATTAAATCACAGTTGTCCGTAGTCTGTAGTCTGTTGTCCGCCAATTACCCGTTTATTTACAATACGAAAAGGCACAAAAGGAAAAATGCTGCGCACAGGAAAACGCTCGCCAAATTGTTGGCTTAGTTCAATTTCGTTTTGGCTCTCGGCTCGGATCGGCTTTTATCGTATATCTAGTGACTAAATATAATTGGCAATTTAAGGCGAATCGCCGCGGCTTAAATTAAAATCAATTGACAGTCGCTGAGGCAATTGCCGGCCACGCCCCCAAGCCATTAACATGGGCTTCGTCCCCGGCCCCAGTCCTCCCCCCCAGGCACTTACCTACTCCGCTCTCAGCAGTCGGCGTAATCCCAGTTGGTTTGCGTCGCGCGTCTAGTCTATAATTGAAAATGCATTACAAATGTTGCAAGCACGCACACAGATACACTCGCACTCTCGCACTCTGGCACAGGCACAGTGACAAAACAAAGTTGCACCCTCGGATCCTTGGAATGTTGCGTTTAGAGCACGAATTTATGAGAATTTAAAGAGTGATTTTCACGCTTTAATTACCGCAGGTGAGCAAAACTAATAATAGTCCTAGGCCTCGGCCTCGGCGTCGGCATCGGCATTGGCATCGGTCGCGGCGCGTTTCCCATTCTCCCAACACGCAGTCGCCGTCGCACTGGCACTGGCACTGGCACTGGCTGTGGCAATGGCAGTGGCAGCCAACGACCCAAGGAAACCGAAGCTAGAAGAAGGAAGACCGGCCAGAAGAGTGCTTAGAAGACTGGTCTTCCTGGCCGCCGGTGCTGTTGCTGTTGCAGCTACCTCGGTTACCTTTCGAAAACTGCAACCGTGTAAACTGCAAGCTGCGAAATTTCTTCGTTTTCCCTGTGTTTGTTGGGGTTTTGGCTTTTTATGCGACCCGCGGCGGTTTTTTGGCTTAATTTATTGCCGTTTTGTCAGCTTGGCAAGCGATTTTAATGCCTTCTTTACGCCACACCGAAACGTATCTCTTACACATCGCGAAAGCTGAGATTTCAACCGCACTCGATCCCATTCGCATTCGCAGTCCCAAGTCTGGCTGGCTGGCTGGCTGGCTGGCTGGCTGGCTGGCTCCCTCGCTCTGCGATCCGTGATCGGGCTGGAGTTCTGCTCGCGTTGAGCTTGCTTTTTGCACTGGCCGGGCAACCGATTCGCCGAGATGGAATGGAATGGGCTGGGATGGGCTGCTGGCCCGGTCGAGGGGAGTCGGGAGTCGACCAGGTTGGCCAACGAGTTTTTTATTTCATTTTTCCCCTTGCTTTGTTGCGTGCATCTTCTGCCAGTTCTTCTACTGGAAGTGCAAGTTTTTTTTTCGCTTTTGCGTTGGTTAGAATGTAATATCTGCTCTTGGGCATGAGGCTTAATGAGAGCAGAGGAAGAGGCAGCAGGTTGCAGCGTTGCCAGATGCGTGGAGAAAAATTGCAATCAATATCCTTATCTAGAGCCCCACATCCTTGGCCAGCTTAGGCCGCCACAAAGCTATGGATCCCTACGCCAAGCCCATTTACCAATATCAAGTTCGGTTCTGCTGTCAGCTTAAGTCGTCAGGGGAGAAGAGTCTCTTTCTGTTGATATATAATACAAACTCGGATACACTCGTATATGCCCTTGCTACATGGCCAGATCCGCTTGGGTTTATCTGATGAACGTTTGGGCCTCATATTTCAATGGAGAATTTCCCTGAGGCCTCCTCTTTGATACGATTTGCCGTCTCAAGCTCTTCCTGTCCTCGAATTTAATTGATTCCCAAACACCTCTTATGCCATTAGGCCGATGACGGTGTAAATCGTTGTTCCAGCCACAAAAACAGCGAAAACCAGCAACAAGCTTGCTTAATGGTGATGCAATGCGATTAAGCCATAATAATAAAGAGCCGTTGCTTTCTAATTTAAATTAACATTGAACATGCCAAGGTAGCAGCAGGAGCAGCGGAAAGCGGAGGAGGAGGAGTCGCACCACCACACAAACTGGATCAACTGCCACTAACGGTTCTGCCCCGTGAAGTGAAGCATCGGATAGAACTGTCCTCCATGTCCACGTACACACCGATCTTGGCGACAAGCCGACAGGGGCGACAGGTCTGTGTTTCGTCTGTCTGGCTCTGGATCAGACAGAGCTTGATGGATGCCTCTCCAGGGCCAGCGATTTGCTTGCAGTTTCAAACACACTCACACTCAAACACACACAAACTGGTTGCGTTGCGAAGTTCAACTGTTAATGGCCATGATTAGCATAAGTGCTTTTCGGCCGGGCCCACAACATTTAAGACAACATAAGCATTAACATTCCCAACGTGGCTGCAAGCGCCTGGCGCGCTCCTGGCCCCTCGGATGTTATGTTGAGCAAATACTTGAGCGGGCAATTGAAATTGCTTTCTAATTTTACAAGCTGCTTTGGAGCACAATGTTTTTGGCCATTTATGGCGATTGGCTCATTAGGCCAACACAATGTTAATGGCCAGCGACGATGCTCCTGCCCTGGGTGGCCGCCCGGCTGCATCCGCCACCTGCCACCGAGCTTCAGGTAGCAAATTGCTTTGGCTAACTTCTAATTTAATGACGGACATTAAATGCTCCAGAAATCGCTTTTTGCATTTCGCATTTCCGGCCGGACCATCCCGGGCCGGGCCAAAAGTCAACGCTTTCCCACCAGGACGCCGGTCAAATATTGGCTTAAACGGCAGATACATCTCGCAGTGCATTCGTCACGTTTCTGAGATGGCTTTCTGCAGCGCGCCTCTCGTCTCCTGCAACCTGTTGAATTTTCATTTCTTTTATCGCACATTAAATTTACAAAAATAGTTTTAACACCTTTTAGGCCGGGGCACACAAGCTCACACAGCCCAGGCCTGCTCTGGGCCTTGATTTATCCCGGCCATGCTCGCTCTCGACATGATCTTTGCTGTAGACATGACCATGGCCAGGGCCGAGGAGCCGTGGAGCCATGAAGCAACAGCAACAACAGCGACATGGCTCGTACATAATCCAGCCATTATTTCTGCCTTGGGTTCTCTCGTTGGCTCGTTGCTGTCGACTTATCGCAGAAATTGCGTCAAGATGTTTTAATGCCAACTCAACTCCAACTCCAGCGAGGCGACTCGCCTCGACTCCACTCCACTCCTCCGTGGCACTCGACACACACACAAAAATGAATGGATGGGACAGAGAGGATGGTCGGGATGTCTGGGCGAACATCCTTTTTAATTTAAAACATTATCGTAAATTCCCTGGCAATTATGCGCTTGTTCAAATGCTTCTCGCCGTGGCATCGCCATCCCATCGCATTCACATTCGCATTTGCATTGTCCGCAGCGTCACAACACATGTCCGTGTCCGTGTCTCTGCCCCTCCGGCCGGTCGGCTAATGCTAATGAATTGTTGGCCAAAGGAACTTGCAACTCTGTGGCGTGTTGCCAGCAGATTAGCGTAAATTTTTCTCAGCTTGGCACCAAAGCACCTGAAGCCCAAAGACAGGTTGATATTTTGGCCCTCTTTTGGCGCTTTGACTGAATAGATGGTGCATATCTTATCGCTCCGTTGTCTGCCTGTCGACACGTCGTTTCTGCTAAAAGATATCACAATTGCCAATGTTTTTCCCTATCCATTCCTTCCCCGTCGTTGCCCACCCCTGTGGCATGCGTGCCATCCTGTTGTAAGTCATGAGGATTCTGACGTGGTCTGGTCCGTGAAGTCTTTAGCCTGAGCCGAATGCTGAAGTCGAATGCCAACAGTTGGTGGGCTCAGAGGAGGAGCAGGAGGAGGAGCCAAACATAAGAAAGCAATCAGCATGAGGCAAACACACAGGCGAGATAACCTTGAGATGCGTATCCACTGGATAAACTATCCCTGTTCGATTGTTCTCAACGCATATCATACGTATCATATCTCATTTGCAGTTTCTGGAAGGGCCTGGACTGTTGAGCAGACGGTGACTGTCCGTAGGACAGGTATACCGAGTTGGGTATGTGGCTAATGAAATTGTCCACGCATTTTAAGGTATTTTACTGTTTCGAAGCGTTTAGCAGATACGAGTCATTAACCATGTACTTCTGGCCTACTCTGGTGCTTTTTGGAGCTCTACTCTCTGCACTAGCTCCTGCGGGATCTGCTTTCGAAAGTCCATGCTGCGAATGTAAGCCGCAACAGCCATTGTGTGTCCACAAATTACCATGCTGCGAACGTAAGAATAAGTATAAAATAAAGTAAGACAGCACTCATACTGGTTTTATTTTTATTCCGAGCTTAAGCAGAACAGACATTCGATTTATTAGTGTCTCACTCCCGTTTTTCCTCAGCCAACTCTTTCGACCCATAACCACATCTATTTGCCCCATAGTTCAGTCTCGGTTCACGCTTATTACCGACTACCGATGATGTGAAATTCGCACAGCCAAAGCAATTAGACGCCCTTTTCCAGCTGAGCAAATAAAAGTTGCACGTAAACTTTTCCACTGCCGCGTGCAACTGGGGGAAACTGTCAGGATGCAGTCGGGAAGTGTTCCCGGACTGAGACGAGTCCTGTGAATATTTAAGCAAACTGCAAAGTAGACAACTTTTGTTTTAAAACTGTCAACGCAGACACGCCTACGACCCGGAGGGACACCAGGAAACCAGGAAGGGGAAATGAACTAACAAAAAATACGCCCGAGCCAGGGAAATCGTAATAAAATAAATTGTTTCAGTGCACGGAAAAGTAATCCGCTTTACGGTCCCTTCATTCCTTGCGGTTTAAGATTTATGCACTGCTAAGACCCCGATTTCCACTCCGTTTTCCTTTCGCTTTTCTTCCTTCTTTTCTGTCGAAAGCGAAAGGGGTAAGGGCGTGCCTTGGTGGTCCCCCCATAAATTAGCCATGTGGAATTTTCGGCTATCCCGAGGCGGGCTCTAGTACAGCTTTTTTCTTTCAGCTCCTGCTGCCTGGCAGTTAAATACAGTTAATCCCTGCATTGCTGGCAAACAAAGTTTGGCAATTTGGGCATCTTATTTGGGACCCCCGCCCTTTTCCTTTGAGCGAGAGTTTCCCTTTCCGCCGCTGCGGATGGGTGAGCGGTGGAATGCGAGGGAGATTTTCAATTAAAGTGTTGAAAAATTTAAAGTCTCGCCGGCTTACACGCTCAATGCAGCGCAGAACACATGACAAATTAGCTTCCTAATGAGCCAAGACATAAATCTTGACATGTTTGGCTGTGGCGCCACGCCCCGTGATACACCACCCACACCGCGATGCGGCTCCGTACAACCTCCCCGCCCCGCCCCCGGTGTTGACACGTGTACTTGTCGGGCGGCTGTCAGGCTGGCTGTGCCACAACATGAAAGCCCGGCAAAGGCATTAGGACTTCATTACAGAAACAGGATGCCGACTACTTGGCATCACGTGTGTCGGTGTGTGTGTGTGTGTGTATGTGGGGGGGGAACGGGTGGGCGTCATTATTGAAATTAACTGTTAATACAAATGACGTCAAACGCTTGACTCAACAACGCTTTGGCTTAGTGGCAATGGTAGAGAGCTCCATTAGTACTCGCGTTGTGTGTTCGAATAATTAAGCACATTTAGTACGCTGATTGGGTTTACATTGCCATGTTTTGAATGCAAGACAGCGATATTCTGTAATAGGTTAACCAACTACTGCATGTTTGCCAGAACTTGTTTAGGAGAGGTCTTCCACTGAACGATAACTCTTACTGTCAAAGTCCTCCTTCCCTGGCATATGAATAATGTTTTGGGAGAAGATTTCATCCCTCTCGCCCAAGCAAATCCCACCTAAGCCAACTGACACATTATCATCTCTGGGCCCTCGAAATACTTCAGAAAGCCACTCATATTTATTCGCATTTCAGCCTAAATCTGTGAAGCAGCTGTTCGGCTATAAATAATAAAAGAATATGTGCGTATATACATTTAAATGACCATAAATTTGGATGCGGCTTTATTAAACTGTAGTAAAAGAGCTCGACTCAGCAGCCACTTGGCCGTGATTTCACCGCTGCCCCTGCCCCAGCCACTGCCTACTTTCGGGGGCACACCGCACTCGGAGTCAAGTCGATGTCGAAGCTGCGGCTGGGCTGGCAGTAAAAGGCCTGGCATTCAGACCATTATTAGCATAATAAACATACAAGCACTCACACACGGACACACACACGATAAGGCCTAAGCCAGAAGGGGATTGTCTGGATTGGTGGCAAGTCCGAGTTCAAGTCAGGGGCAAGCTGCCGCTGCCGCTGCCCCGGCCTGGACAATATAATTTTATGGTCACATTTTTATTGTACCAAAGAGTCGTCTTAGGCAACATCATCGCTATCATCATCATTGCCATCACCGCCATCGTCATCGTCATCGTCATCCTCCTCCTTGTCGTCATCGCTTGCAAGGCGTTGAAAGCCTAGCCAGCATAAAATTTAAATGTTATTGCCCCTGTTCCTGCACATACACACGTGTATCCATAAATGCAATAACAAATTTTTCGAAAGGGGCGGAATGCAGATGGACACTCCGCCCCAGACCCATGTTCGTTTGAACCGCAAATTGCGAGTACTCCACCTGGGTTGCAGGTGCCAACTGGTGCCTGGTGCCTGGTGCCTGGTGCCCGCTGCTTGGGTCTGGTGTTGTCTGCGAATGTTTTAATTAAATATTCCATTTGCCTAAACCAGAAAACCAGAAAAGCGCGCAGTTAGTTTCCGGTGCCTCCCCCCTTCCGACTGGGCACCCGGTGCAGTGCATAAATTCTGGATGGTTCAGTGGTCAGCACATGTTTCCCCCGGTGATTGGGGGGCAGAGCGGCACCGGGGAGCAGTCACCCCCACACACCGAGATCGGGGGAGCCGCAACTTAAAGCATTAAATTCTCAAAGTTCCATCTACTACTGAGTATTTTCTCTTCTCCGATCAATTAGCCGTAAAATAACATTCTGTGCGGTCAGCGGGAAATGTAAATGCAATTTAAATGCCCCGAAAGCCAATAATGAGCCGCAGAACATTTCACAGCTGAATAAATAATTTCCACATTAATTGGCAGTCAGTCGATGTAATCCCTTAATTGCTCATACGCCATGTGAGACTTGCCCTTTGGTTATATTGCCAAAAAATTACACAAAACCAACAGAAATAAATAACAAATCAAAGCTATTTTTGTTGAACAATTGTTGGTTCTGGCAAATTAATTTTGTAAATATTTTTGGCAAGAGAAATGGGAAATATTGAATGAAATTGACAAAGAAAATTCATTTAAATTTCATAGAAAATCGCATTGAAATCTGTTGTGCCACAAAACCAGATTTTGTTGTTGCACTAAAAATAATTCGCTAAATATTTTCACTGAATATAAAAGAAAAATATTATGGTAAATAATGCGAAATATTAGGTACTTTGTTACCCAATAGCCACGCTATTTCATTATTGTGATTTTCATGAATTTAAATTATAAAACCCAATCTCAATTAATGAAATGCAAATCCTATTACCTTACGAAATCATTAAAATTCAATAAAATCAAACATAAATTATCAAGAATTCTAATTTCAGGAAGCTGCTACATCGTGACACATAATTCACTTGGGCCCCCAAAAAAACGAGAGAAGAAATTCATTTTAATGAAAAATGTCAAAAGGAAAACCGAAAAAGGAAAAGTTTTACAAGGCCCGCCACTGCCAGCGGAAGCGGAAGTAATGCCAATGCCAAATGGGGGGAAAAGGCAGGAAAAAGGCGAGCGGTGGAAAAGCGAACAGGGGGCCAACACATAATAATGCCATCATCATCGTCAATGGCAAACAACAACAGCCCGAGGATGGGACGAACGGGCAGGAAATCGGGAGGGAATGGCCCGGGAAAGAATCGACAATGGGAAAAAATTGTTAAAGCCGAGAGCAACAAATGATGGAAGATGCTCTAAATGAACAACAACCAGGAGTCGAATGCAAATACGCAGCAGGAAAATAAATTAGATAGTGGTGGGGGACCAGCAGCAGGACTCGGATCAGGACTCGGAGCAGGACAATGCCGCGAGCACACCGCAGCACGCGCAGGATTACCCCTAGTCAGGCAGCCCCTCTCTCTCTTCTCGTACTTCCTTTGTATTGGGGCAGCAACGATTTCGGCTTGCTTCGTTAGACATTCGTTTTTCGGGGGCTTTCACAGAGGTCAAATGTCAATAAGTTAAGTGGGCATGGTCACGCCCGCCACCAGGACAAGGCTGAGCAACTTTTCCACGCTATAAATATGATTAAAACATATTTCCCAAGCCATCGAGTGATAAATGCGACAAACTTTTGTCTGGCACTTGCTTTTGTCTCTCTGTCGCCCTGTGGCCCTGTCTCTGGCCTAAAGCTCTCAGCGGGTGGGTGGCAGCAGATGCTGATATAAATCCAATTTAGTAGAGCCCATAAAATGTAGGAGTAATGCCACACAGCCACATCCACAGCCACACCCACTCCATGCGGCCCCTTAACTATTTGCATGATAAAAATCTTTCATCAAGCGGCAGCACCAGAAACAATCTCAATCTCAGTCCCAACTTGGTCTCAACTTCTTCTGCATAATTCGACGATTGCTCGGGGATGGGATTCCCGATTCCCGCGTCCCGCCTTCCGCTTCTGGCCTTTTGTGTGGTAAACACCTAAAGTAGTAAACTGGGATTTAAGCATCCTCCCACACACAGGGACACACGCACACACATTCAGACTAGGACGTGGTGTTCGGTTCCCTCACTTACCTACGTGTCTATAAAAATTTTACGTTGCTGGCATCGGCAAGGACAAAAAACTTTTCCCAGCCAGAAACAGGAGCAGACGGAGCTCCTGGCTGGGGCTGCTACTGGAGCTGGAGCTGGAGATGGAGCTGAAACTGGCTGCGATTGGGTGTTGGTTGAAAGGAAACGTCCCTATACAGGATATTCCTTTTATTGCCATGCGAGTGGCATGGGGAATTGTGATGCCCGAATACATACATAAATTCAACCTTATGTGCTCCTGCTCCCGGATGCGTTGGGATGCCATGCGTTGGGATGCCCTGCGAGGCTGCTGAACACCCAATAGGGACATTATGTCGTGCGCCAGAATCTATAGAATATGTAAAACGTTTCCCTCAAAAAAGATTAAAAAATTTTGCAATTTTAATATCCGTCCAAGGAGCAGGAACGGAACCTTCCGCCAGACAAAGTCGCTGGGCAAACAAACAAAAATTTCAAAAAGTTCTTTTAAACAAAGGCAAGAAAAAGAGGGTTATATTCGTTTAAGGATTCGCACAACTAAAGAGAAAGGTCCGTAGTGGAGTGGCTATACATTGTTTGTTTGTCTCTGCATGCCCCGTAATTGTTTTGTCAAAAAGTTTTACGAGCCTCAGCTGCGACGCAAATGTGGAGGGGAGAAACTATGTGATTTTGCATAGAAATGTTTCAAATTGGAGGGGGAGACTTTCAGCTCAAGAAAAGGGTGAAAAATCAGGAACTAAACTTACACTTTTAGTGGAGTTCTTAGCAGAAAGACGATGAGAATTATCCAGCTATAGAATATAGAAAGAGTGTAGAGTGCAAGAACCAAACTTCAATATAAGTTTGATTTCTTTTCTGGAAGAACGAGTGTATAAAAGCCCTCCTTCCCTACCATACTTCACTTAAATATTTGAGTTGGAAATTCACTTCGCATCGATGAATCAACTTTTTCTTTGGTGGGGAACAGAAACTTTTCCTTTCAACTGTGCAATTTCCATTTCACTCAAGCCTTGACCCCAGCTCGCCCATTAAGAGCTGGTCATATCCCTGGGATCTGGGTTGTCCTGCCCGCAAAGCTGCTTAGAATCATGAATTCCATCGTTCATCGTTCGTCGGGCTCCTTATTAGGCCGTCCGCGTGCACCTTCGAAAACTTCCTCTGCTGGCTGCCAGGCAACCGGCCTGCCTACCGAGAGCCCCACAAAAATAAGAGAGAAGACGTTAGCACCGCACAAAGAAGCACCCAACTCCATTCCCCAGCTCCAGCCTGGGGCCCCGTATCCATGGCCTGGCATTTAAGATAAATGATCGCCTGCCAACAATGCACAAAGAGTCACAAAAACTTTGGTCACGTTTGTGCTATTTGGCGGCCCAGGCATATGCTCTGGGAGCATATCAGGGTGGGTCCGTCTTGGGTCCCGAGTCCTGGGGGTGGCTGTCTAGCTTGCATCCTACCTTGGCGCAATTTTAATATGTTTATGGAGAGGGCGGGCGGGGCACCCACACTGCCGTACAGCAGTTTAAAATTCAAGACACATGCAGCAGCTTAAACGTTTTAGAAATCTATTTTTCAAACGAGAGAAGGCGCCGTGACAGGACAGGAGCGCCCGAACCCCCGGCAGTCCCATGTGTGCGTGCGAATTGCATTTAATTGAATCGTCTGGAGCAGCAGGTGAAAGTATTTCGTTGTTTGCCATTTCCATTTCCCCTTCTAGAACACTTTCCTTCTTCGAATCGCCTCAAAGCAACCTTTAGACGAGACAAAAGACAGGGGCAACGATCGCGCCATAGGCGAATGGCAGCATCATGTCGCTGCAGGATGCAGGATATGTTCCCAGCTATCTGATACAACTTCTCGACGATCTGGTGCTAAGTCCTGGCAAGCACTGGGTTCTGGATGAGCTGATAGATAGCCAACACCGCTGACTTCGGTTCAGCTTCTGTGCAAAGAGTTGATCGACTAAGAGCTGGCGCGGGGCACATCAACCACGACTAATGGTTAGACAGTATCAGATAATGTAATCCGCTTTTTCCTGATTACTTCCCTATATTTCTGGCACTGTTTAAAGCTTCCTGCTAGATCCCTTAAAGGTTTCTTACTCCCCCGTTCCCTTTTTGGCCCTTGCGACGTCCATAAATCGGTGGCACATATGGCAACTTTACAAGTGGCTCGCGTCGCCGTCTGTGCGCACAATTCAAATGGAAATCAAAGTGGGCGTTCATGAGTTAAACACTCGACGAGGCACGAGCCACGAGCCACGAGCGAGGAGCCAGGAGCCAGGAGCCAGGAGGCACCAGGCAACGGAAGCCCCAATGTGACAAAGTCGCTGCCACACAGAAGCCAAGCCGAATCCAACCAAACCAAACCAAGTCGAGTCGCGTTGAGTCGGGGCACTTGTGGTTTACGACCTGTCCTGGAGAGGGATCCTGCTAGCAGAAATAAAATCACACACGACTGCCAGGAAGGAACCGAGGCTCCAGTGGCCGGGGGATGACGATGATGGGGCTGGAACATGGGGCAGCTGCATGGGGCATGAAGCATAAGGAGGACGCCTTAAAATGGCTGCTGCTGCTTCTGCCAGGGCCATTTCTTTCTGCTTCCGTTGGGAAATTTATTATTCTCGTCTAGATGAGTTCATTATGCGAACAGCAGTTGCCAGTCAGAGCCAGAGTCAGTGCTGCCTGCCTGCCGCCTTTGAATGCTGAATGCGAAAACGATTCAATTTTATTGTTTTCCACATAAATTCTCCCCGAATTATGCATTGTATAAAAAACATCATATGAAATTTGAGTAGGACGCCGTCGCCCGACCATACACACATGAGATGGGAGATGGCAGAGAGATTGTTGGCCATATAATTGAGTCACGTTTGCTCAGGGATTAGGTTGGTTCCCTGCACTGGTTGTGGGGTACCGAAAATATTCAGATTTATGCCGCCGATGGAAAGTTATGGGGAATTGGCATCGCTTGATTTATGGAAATGACAAACTCGCATGCATAGTAAAGTCTCCTCTGCGAATGGATAATATTGAATGGGAAACGCTACAGAAGCGGAGAAAGATTAGGAATTGACATCCTTTTTTCCATTCCATTTTACATTCTAAATTACAAAATACTACTTTACCTCTATACATAAATTGTATTAATATTCAGGAAGTGGAAATTTCCACATACTCAAAACTCGTGTACATTCATCGGAAATGATTACCTTTTTCCCAACAAAATTGGTAAACTAAAACGATTTCGAGTCAGAATTTTATTTCGGACTTTCCCAAAACTAAAACCCCCATTAAGACCACAAATAAACCCATTTTTGGAATGATATCATAGCGGCGTGTGCAGGGCTACGTGTTTATAATGCCAATAACCTCTGACAGGACGGATGCCCGCACGTCAGGCGGCCACAACTAATATGGGACGAATGGGGAGAGGGATCAGGAAACACGGAACGGGAATAGAAATCAAAATTCGTGCTGGCATGCAAGTTCAAGCGGCTCCTGCTCCTGCCATCCTGCCATCCTGGCAGACTTGTAAACAGGGCTACGAAATTAAATTTATCTGTATCAGTTTCAGCACCCCAATGGAATGGACGGCACGGCGGTAGGACCTCTTGCTGAACAGCTGCAGCAGGAGCTGAACACATGTTCCGACAAATTCATCTGCCATGTCACAATGCGCAACGGTATGCAGAAATACCCAGGGATGGTCTTTGGAGACGGCCAAGCACTCTAACCTTATGGATAAGCTCTGGCTTGGCATCCGTCCTAGTTCTGCCAGGCTGCTGCAACTTGCACGTGACAGGACTCGACGAAAAGTGAAACTTGGCAAATATTTTGTTGAAACACACAATTTGGGGGGTGTCTATCCCTGTGGAAAGGGGAGCGGAAATAAAATGGGGCTGTCTTCATCCCCCAAGCTCCCCACAGACCCGACACAAGTGTCATTAATCAAATGCCGCCCAATAAGTTCCAACCCTTCTTCGCAGAATTTTTGAAATATGAACTTTTTGCTCTGACGAATGCCGGCAGTCATTAATAAATTAGGGGTTAAAATGCCATAACAACGTCAGTCTAGGGGAAGGGCAGGGGCAGCCGTTGAAAAGTTGTTCATTTAATTGAAACCGAAACGCGGCAGCCCCAGGATTTTCCTAACTCAATTAAATTAGGCGCCAACTGGGGGGACATACGGGCACGGCACTCGTTGAAAGGGAAAATCAGTTTAACTTTGATTTAACGATCCGTGCAGTTGTTGTCAACCGCTTTCATTTGAATTTCATTTTGATTAGACCCCAGCAGACAAACACACACACCCTTAAATCACTCTGAAATAGTTCGAATAAATCCCGAGTCAGCATGTGGAACTACGGAGAGTGCCGGGCTCCGGGACTGCAGCAGGAGGAGAGCGAGATTCTGACCAGCGGACCCGAGCCCGCGTGCACTGGCGGCGAGGAGGAGGAACAGCTTGACCTGGACGCCCTCTACGACGAGCTGGAGGCCCTGAAACAGCGTCTATTGTTGCTGCGCAGCAAGCTGGTGACCAGCCCCAAGGACCAGTGCCAGGCGCAGGCAGCGATGGAGGACACGGACGAGTCGTTTTTTACAGCACAGAGCCGTCAGCTGGTAGCCCTGCGGCGCCAGAACTGTGTGCTAAGGTGTCAGCTCCAGTCGATGGCCGGACACCTCAACAGTAGCCGCAAGGAGCTGAAGGAGATGGATGGGTGGCGCTGCTTGGTCGCCACCCGCATCCAGCGGATGCGCCGGGAGCTGGACACCTTCGAGGAGTTCAAGGTGCAGGCCATCCACCACTTCGGGTTGTGCATCGAGCGCTGGGAGCAGCACAAGGCCTGCAAGGTGGACAGCAATGTGTACCAGCGGCGGATGCGGGAGCTCATCCAGCACATCGACGGCAGGCGGGTGCAGATGGTCCCGATGCACTGCCACCACCAAACTTTCCAGCAGGTGCGGATGGAGATAATACAGACCCGCCTCTTCCTGTACAATCTTTTCGACAGCATGCTCTGCTACTTCCATTTCTTCAACCGCCAGTTCAGCCTCAGGTGAGTTTTCTGACTGACTGCTTCTGATCTTGCGGCCAGCTATGTAATCTCGGTTGCATCTTTCCAGGACCAGCACATGGACTACCATCCAAAAGTCAATTACCTCCGTCGCCCCGTCCTCCCCACCCAACTCACTCCGCTCTGAGTTTCGCGATTCGAGTGAGCTTTGAGTGCTCCTGGAGTGCTCTCCCTCTCGCTCAACTCTCAACTTTTGGCAATTAATGTTGATTTTTATTCTCCGACTTTATTGAGGGACTTTCCGCCGTGCTGGCGGAGGGCTGCAGGGGTAGGGTCTGTTTGTAATTGCTTTGGAACTGTCGCCCAATTAGGGTTATTGACGTTTGCGGCCTTAATGGCCCTTTTGAGGCCCATTCCCGTGTCTGTTTTCCCATAATACTCGTACAATAATTACAAAATTTCAACTCTGCAAAAATGGCCTTAAAGAGGGGATATCATGGACGCTCGAGGCTTCCTAATCCGACTTTCGACGCCATCCAAATGTGCACGCATTCCCACCAGGATAAGATGGCAAGCGGCTAAATAGGAAGCGGCATCAGATAAAACAAAAGCAGATTTGTTTTTCCTTTACCTCCCATTCGAAAAAAAACGAAGCAAATCCCCACCACAGAAAGAGACATAGAGAGGAAGCTGAGCTGACAGCCCGAAGCTAAGCGCCGGCAGGAACGGCTGAAATCCTTATCCTGCTCTGGCTCCACTCCACATCGTCCTCCTCTAGCCCGAGCCCCAGCTCCAGTTCCAGCTCCAGCTCATGACTCCAGCATCCCATATCCTTTTTGGAGGTTGTCGAAATGCGTAAAAACTCAATTGCTGCGCATTTGACGAGGGGGTGAGAGGGTGCGGTAAGGCAAGCGGACCTGGACTAGGGATCGACATGGGTCTCGCATTGAGTGAGATGCAAGATAACGCGAGGAGGAGAGCGGGAGTGCGTTGGCAAGGGGGGAGAAGTGCGAATACGAATTTATTGGAGTCATGTGCTGATAAGCGGCTCTAGCTTCCCAATACCAATGCCAATGCCAAATTACAATGCTCTAACAAGCGGCGAGAGGCGCGGGGGAATGGTTAACGACAAAACGAACAGCGTATACTCTATGCCACAGAAGAGGGCAACGAGTATATGCAACCGAGGTTTCCTTTCCATCAGATGACGATACTCCCCTTGGAATAGGGTACGCAAACACTGATACGAACACGCAGATACACGGCTACGGACACCGACACAGGGGCAGGCACAGACAACCAACGGGCTGTTACATGGCTTAAACACAGGAAACACATTAGATACTTTTTGGCTCATTCGCTGGCTGGCCATAGTGAGTACGCGGCCCGGGGCCGGGTCTGGGGCTTGTACTGTGTCTGGTGTACTGGGTCTGGAACTGAGACTGAGACTGGGTCTGAACAGGGGTTAGTGCGATAAAAATCTGCGTAAAATGATGCGGCAATTTGATGAGCAACTAAGTTCGGGCAATTAGTTTTGTAAACGTTCGGAAGTTAGTCGTGTCCACGTCCAGCTAAACTGTTGCTGGGAGGGGAGGAATAGAGCCGAGCCATCATCCGCATGCCATTCAGTTCTGTAATGTGCCTAACAGGGCTCAGAAAGTTGTGCGTAGAGAATCGTGTGATTTATTGGGGCCATCCAAAGCTCAGATACAGATCCAAGTACCACGTTTGCTCTGCCCCCGAAAGGGCCGTCCAATTGATCGGCAATTTTTCCCCATTTTGCTGCCACACAATTCCCAGGCAGGCGAATGACCCATGGTCGTTCTCCTGATGAAATGGCATTCAGTTCTAACGGCGTTCCAGCAATTGCTTGGCGATTCGTGCCTTTCCTGCTCCACTGAACTCTTTGACAGGCCAAAGTAACAGAAACCAAAAAACGTTTCCCCAACTTGCTAATAAGCCGATGTCTAACCAAAAGAAGGAATCAACAGCCGTAGCAGCAGTAGAGAAGGAAGCCTTCTGCCTTGGGCTGTTTTCTAGCAATTTCAAAGATACATTTCAAGTGCCCAACTTTGCTCTACTCTTCTCTCTCTCTCTCTCTCTCTCTCTCCGTGAGTGTGTGTGAGTCAACCGCAAAAGTACAAATAATTTCCATTTGGCCGAAGCGGCAACATTTGCATTTTTCTTCAGTTCTTCTTAGAGCCCGGCCCAGACCCAGCCCATTCCCATTCCCAGTGCCTGCCTCAAATAGGCAAACATGCCTCCCAGCGGCAGCTGCACAAAGAGGGCAGCTAGTGAGCGAGCGAGCGAGTGAGCGTGTATTTAAATAGCAAACAGATACGTCGTCGTCTACTTATAAATACTTTGTCGTCTCGGCAAACGATACGGCACAAGTTGTAGATAAATATGGCATAGATTACACAACTAGTTCTCTGCCACAATAGAACTTTTTGCCTCCTCGAAAGATAAGTGTATGCTGACTCTCTCGCACATACAGGGTATTCTGTATATACAGTTATTTATGAATTTTCTTCGCTGACTCAGCACGGTCGCTTTCGGCAGGGCAACTTCTGTGCACTCTTCTGGCCGAGCAGCTTTCGAGGGCGCCGTGGCTTAGTTGGTTAAAGCGCCTGTCTAGTAAACAGGAGATCGTGAGTTCGAATCTCGCCGGGGCCTATCCCTTAAAAATTCGATATTAGGGGTTCCACTTTTTTATGTGTGTTTTCCATCCCATGAAGCCAAACTTCTGTTATTTGATTTGCTTGGGGCGCAGTTTAATGGTGCCTATTAATGGCGCTTGCCAACTGACGCCTTCTGCCAGCCATTGATATATTTCAATTGCCACAATAATTGTTTCAATAATCATTAAAATCACCCAGTGACTGATTAGAAAATAGAATGATTGTCGACATGATGATGAAAATATGAGGTTTTTACTATTTTTAGTTGGGATCATTCGACTTGCAAATACTCTATACTGAAAGTTTAAAGCACCCTTGGAGGTCCTTTGTAAAAGTAACCGTCTCCTGAAGCTTTATGTTTAGCATAACATTAGGGTGGTGCTTTATACTCGTACAGCTTTAAGGAATTACTGTTACAGTTAAAGCACTCACTTGTATAATGTTACGTCAAAGCTTTCACATGAAAAGCTTATAGTGCCGTTGAAAGCTATCAACTAACATGAGCTTTCCTGCAACAGTTCTGGAATCTTAACAGTTGCTTACCAAAACCATGACTTCCCCTCCCTGGCTCGATGTTTTAAAATTTAAACAACTGAGCAAATATCAAATATTAATTTGGTTAATGGGCTGATAACGGTAGGGAACTGTTTTTCAAATTGTGTAGTTGAAAGACGAAAGTCGCAAGGGCGCCGTGGCTTAGTTGGTTAAAGCGCCTGTCTAGTAAACAGGAGATCGTGAGTTCGAATCTCGCCGGGGCCTTCCGTCAAGGACAACAAGGGATTGTTGTCTACTTTTTGTCCAGGATTTTTTTCAATTTTCAATCATTTATTACGTGTCTTAACCAATCACTTAACTAGACCAAAGGAAACTTTATAAGCTCTAAGGACTAAGGACTAATCCTTGTAGACCAGATACAGGACAACGATCATGAAGTAGGTGGGCCGCTCAAAGACCAGCTGAGTGAAGTTATCCCGCTTCTCGTCCATCAGGTGGCACATTCTCTGGTAGATGCCCTGATTCTGCTTCTCCACAATCGACAACAGGCAGATAATGCGATGCCTGAGGGTAAGGAATCGAATCAGTGACAATTGGTAGAGAAGAAGGGGGAGGGGCGCTTGGAGGCGGAGATCACACTTACCGACTGTGGTTTAACTTCTTGACCCGATCGCGTATCTCGGCCGCCAGACTCTCGACCAACTGCAGGGCACGCCAAGAATCGTAATTGCGGCTGAAGCGATCCCACAGCAGACGCTCCTCGATGCAATCTTCGATGATCTTGTGGGCACGTTCCATATTGAAATTGGTGTGAAAAAATTTCCAATCATTCTTTGGCTTCTCGTTGCGCTCGCCGCCCTCAAATCCAGCTCCGCCGTCGCCCTCCGGATTCTGGGCCCGCCGCCGGCTGAGCATCGACTCGGAAAGCAGGGCGTTCATCCGGTTTGTGGTGCGAACCGATGCGGTTATCCTGCAAAAAAGTGCGAATTTTTGTATTAGCTTTGACTCAAATCAAAGATTCTATACGTATTTGTTTTAGTTTCTGCGACTGAGTCGCGTCCTACCGCGTTTTCATATTGCTCCAGCTGGTCATTGTTTGTCTCCCAAGGGTATTCCGATATATTCCTGGGATATGGTATTTTTGGAGCAGCCCTGTCTGCCCGCTAAAGGAAAACAAATAGCGAGCTCTGCTATCTGTGCACTGACAGGAACGTCAGCCAGGACGACATGCCAACACGAGCCCTGCCTAATACCTAGCTCCTCATGCCCGAGGAGCCGGGGCAATCATCGGGTATCCACACATCGTCAAAAGTTTCCCTTCAGCATTGTTGGTTTAAGCCCACTTTAGGCTCGCGGCTCTGGAGGTGGCAGTGAGAGGCACGCCTGAGACCCGACATGAGCACGATATACAGTACAGTACTCGCTGTAAATAGGGCAAACTATAAGGTACACAAGTACGTTTGAGCGTACGTAAGTCTGTAAGTCACAGTCTAATCGAAATATCCATCTTCGTACGTGCTTCTGTTTCTATAAAAATTATTTGCTTGGGGAAGTCTTTATGACTTTGTTGCCGAGATATTGTTTGCGAAGATATTTTAACCATCTGTAAAAATAGCTACTCTAAAATTTGTCCAGGCAAGTTTCACTCCTTACAGTGATCACTGTACTTCTCATCGTTGGCGATTATGGTAGCACAGTCGTGTCACGCTGCCATCACCAAGCCTTCCGCCTTGCGTGCCGCCTATCATAAATCCAAGTCAGAGCGCTCCAATTGCAACCCACCGGTGATGGCGGTGGAGACGTGGGTGTCATCGCCACCAGCAACTCGGCGGGGTACAGTAAAGGAGCGCGGGCCGAGAGGGAGCGGAGTCAGCAAAGTGTTGCCATATGGATGTGGGTGCTGTGCTTTCGTGGGGGAAATTACTTCGAGCCACGAAGGCACGCGATTCCTTTTTGAAGTTGATGACTTTTGATCGGCTGCCTTGCGACACCTGTGAGGTCTTCTTGGCCAGGTCTCGCCCCTGTCTCCGCCCCGCTCTAGCCAATAACTTTCAAGCACTTTGATTGCTTTTTATCGCGAAAGTTTTGTGCGATTGCAGCGTATGCAAACTTCGCTCTGGCCCCCTAGCTTTGATCCATATATACATTTGTATCTCTGTATTTAAGTCCATACACAGATTCATATCTACATGTGTACATATATATGAAGTTATTAAATTGAAATAACTGTCAAGTCACGTGCCCTGTTGACGACTCCTCATTGTTCCCAAATGGTCGGGCCAAGTGGCCGGGGAACAATAGAAAATTGAGCAAACGGCGGTATGGAATTGGGATAGGCCATGTGCATATGTATGGGGTGGTGTCCCCGACATCTCAAACAGTGGAGGCCACTCTTATAGCAACAGTTGTAGTCAAAATAAACTATTTCATTTTTTTCTTCTAAAGCCTATTAAATCGTATCTTTGCTGATGTTCTTTAGAGTATAACCCCAGTTTCTCTTGGTGTTACATACATACGTATTATGTGAAAGGACCAATCTATCTCATATTAATTAAGTTTTCGAAGCATTTTTTGAATCTGTTATCATTCACCTTGTCACTACCCTTTGTTCAGTCTTGATATTGATTTAATATAGAGATGCACGCATTCAATGTCACCATAAGGTTTTCGCTTGCGCAACGTCGGAATTTGGTTTAAATTGGCACTCGGTGCAAAAAAATGCCTAGTTTTTACAATGAAATAAATAAATCCGATAAAGTTGTTCGCTCTACGGTACGTAAAGCAAAATAAAAAGTGTTGTTGTATATAAAGTCATGTGAAAAAGAATAACAAACAAAAGCCCTATAAAATGATTATTTTTATGCAAACATCATCCTGGGACATCTTTCTTCAATAGACAAGAAACCCTTAACGACTGCAGATTTATTTTTTAAAGGATAACAAATCATTTCTTTTTTAAATTATGAAAATTAATTATTGCATGATTTGAATTTGATTTGTCTCACAAATTCATTTCTAGAATTTTTGGTATTTTAAATTTTTGTCCGGGTGTTTCCTCTTGAGTTTTATGTTCTACTGCATTATCCATCATTAACTTGTAACATGTAAATGTTTCAGAAGTTTTTCGTAAAGAAAAAACAATATTTGTGGACATTTATGCATATTTTTACATTTAAATTAACTGAAACTAACAACGGTTTTTTGGTTCAGTGGTTCCCTCAAAACGTTCAAAATATTTCAGAATTTGGAGGCTGTTTTCGGATCCTAAGATACACCCCTAACCACCAGAATATGTTTCTAAAAAATATTTTATATTTTGATACTAACTAGTCTAGCCATAACTAGATTAGCCATTTGATAAGAACACAAATGGTAAATTAATCCCATCTCTCCCATACTTTTATAACTTGTGACAGCAGAAATAAGCCGTTTAAGGAAGCAATCATTTTCATACACGGCAATCGCAATAAGTTCTGTAACACAGGTTACGACACAGGCTTCAAAGCGTAAATTGAAGATTTATAGGGTACATTTCCTTTCGATGATTGATTAAGTTTCGTAAGCCGCATCTTTAATGCACAAGTAGCCATAAAATGTGTTATAATGAACGCACCAACCCGAATCTCTAACCTCCCGAGCGGTTCTCGAAGCAGTTACCAGGTTACTAATTGCCAAACACAAAACGAGGGGGAACGTTGTGAGTTGCTTCGGACACCGCAACTCTACGGTTATACCCGATACTAAGTCAGTATGGCTCTCCTCCAGCAGGCGGCGTCTAATATTAAACGACACGACAAAGAGTGCGTGCGAGAGAGACAGAAAATCAGTCTGAGCGTGACGTCGGGCGCTGCGTAGCCAATGCAAATTGATTTGTTCCTTTTGGCTACAAAAATTATCTGATCTGATCCAGATTCAGCAATCTGATAGATATGGTCGTTATCTATGATTCTGCGTTTTTAGTTTACTCGAATCTGCAATATTGTGGATGCAACAGATTTTCGTCCTTTGTGGGGGCGGAAGGGGGTGTGGCGAAATTTTGAGATATACGTTTTATAGTGAGATCTAACAGGAGTGCGGATACTAAATTTGGTTACTCTAGCTTTAATAGTCTCTGAGTTTTGTGAATATCCCCAGATTTGCATCCTTTGCGGGGGCGGAAGGGGGTGTGGCGAAATTTTGAAACAAACTCGTCTCGGTCCGATATATTAGGAGTGTGGATACCAAATTTGGTTGCTCTAGCTTTTATAGTCTCTGAGATCTAGGCGCTAATGTTTTACTCTAAGCAAAGCCGCCTATGCTACGTGTGTGTTAGAGAGAGACAGGGCGAGAAAAAATGAAATTGTTTTCTTGATGCTGGCTATAATAATAATACGATCCAATTCAGATTCCGCAGTCTAAAAGATATGGTCATTCTCTACGATTCTGCGTTTTTGGTTTTCTCGTATCTTTAAAATTGTGGATGCCACAGATTTTCGCCCTTTGTGGGGGCGGAAGTGGGCGGGGCAAAGTTTTGAAATATTTTTGCAGCAGTGACATATCACAGAAGTCTGGATCCAAAACATCGTTGCTCTAGCTCTTATAGTCTTTGAGCATTAGGCGCTGAAGGGGACGGACAGACGGACAGACGGACAGACGGACGGACGGACAGACAGACATGGCTCAATCGACTCGGCTATTGATGCTGATCAAGAATATATAAACTTTATGGGGTCGGAAACGATTCCTTCTGGACGTTACACACATCCACTTTTACCACAAATCTAATATACCCCAATACTCATTTTGAGTATCGGGTATAAAAACTTTTCCCGACACACGCCGAACATTTGAAGAAACTGGAACAGGAGGGCGTTTTTATTCGATTGCGATTGCGGCTGGTTGGATGGGGGTGGGTGCGAATGGGGAACAACAGAAATTAAACAGCAGCTAAACAAATTAGGCAATTTGTACCGCCTGCCTTTCCGCTAATATGCGGGCGACGTTGGACAGGGGGTAAGGTTACCAACACTCGGAACAGGTTCGAACTCATTAGCACCCGGGTGCACGCGAAACGGGGCAATTTGCATATGTAGGATAGGACTCACGCTTGCATGCGACTCATAGCAGCGGCGCCTTGGCCTATGTTACGTCTAACGGGTTGGTAGCTGGAGCTGGAGCTGGAGCTCTGCCCTTCGCCAGAGAGGGATTTCCGGCAAAACTGCACGTGCGCTCGTCACAAATGGAACTGGCTCTGGTCCCGGGCTCCGGCTGCTCCCAGACATAAAAGCGCAAAAGCCGGCAGCTAACAATGTGTGGAAGGTGGGGCCGATGGCGAATGAAAGGGGTAAAGTGTACGCCATGATGGTGATTGACTTACGAGCTCTGACAGCACAAACACACACACATACGATGAGGGTAATGAGGGTGATGGAGTGAGTTCGTCACCGTGGCACTCGTTAGCTCTGCCTTTGGTATGATTTAGGTTGGCATGTCTAAAGACAACTCTGCAGAGACTGCAAAGGAAGGGTTGAGCGGCGGAGCAAATGTGTGCCAATGTATTCTAAATTGTGTTTATTTTGAGTAATTTGCAATCTATTTGACACAAACTGTCTGCTCCTCTCTCCTTCTCTTTATCACTATCACCAAACATGGCATGACCCTGCCAGACTTTTTGCCAATTAAAATTGTAGGTTTCCAACTGTCGACACACCAACATGCACATTACTTAGAATCCTAGAAGAATGTAGAGAGTTCTGGTTATTTTTAAGAATGCGGACTCTAATAAGTACATATGTATATACGTGGGCGTACAATATTTGGACGTTGACATGCAATAACTGCACCGTCAAGTGGCCCGTGTGACACCAGCAGAAGACTGTTACGCGCGGATCACAGGCAAAACGCAGCCCTCCTCCCGCCCAACCGACCGAGGAGCGCTGCCGCATAACGCGCGGTGCGTCGCCAAGCCAAACGCGTACATGCAAGAAAGATAGTTGTAACACTAATATTCAAGGAAAATTAGCACTACACTTACTAGGAAACTAAACATACCGTCAAAATACATTTACGAATACCATTACAATTACTAATAACTAGAAAGGTGTGTGAGGTTTAGTAATTTAATAATAGGAAGAGAATTAGTGGTGGAAATAATATGGTAGAGGATATTATAATCCGAGCATAAGACCCTAAATGGTTCATGCAAGGAATAATTCGATCTATAAAGTGGAAGGAACAACGGTATACAATTTCTAGTGAGTCAATATCGGACGAACCAGCGAGGTATAGAGAGTTTTTGTAATATAGGGATCGTCGAATTCCTTTGACCACCTCTTTATTCTTTGGACGTTGACATGCAATGACTGCATCGTTCAAGAGGCGATGCAGTTACTGCACCGTCAAGTGGCCCGTGTGACACCAGCAGAAGACTGTTACGCGCGGATCCCAGGCAAAACGCAGCCCTCCTCCCGCCCAACCGACCGAGGGGCGCTGCCGAACGCGAGCATGCAAGAAAGATAGCTGTTAGACTAACATTCGAGGAAAATTAGCACCAAACTTACTAAGAAACGAAGCATGCATTCAAAATACAAATACCACTACAATTACTAATTACTAGAAAGGTGTGTATGGGTTAGTAATTTAATAAGAGGAAGAGAATTAGTGGTAGATATAATATGGTAGAGGGAATTATAATCCGAGCATAAGACCCTAAACCGTTCATGCTAGGAATAATTCGATCTACAAAGTGGAAGGAACAACGGTATAAAATTTCTAGTCAGTCTAATAGGAATCGTGAAGTTTATGCGGCTCAACAGATCAGGGCTGTCTATATGTTAACTAAGGATGGGAGGTTTACTAATAGTAGTCTACTAGAGTAAGATGGGTGTCTTAAACCCACATCCCAGTTAAGGACCCGCAGAGCAGAGAGTAAAAAGTTTTTCTGTACTGATTCTATACGGTCCTGGTGTACTTTGTACTGAGGGCACCATACACAGGAGCCGTATTCTAAGATCGGACGAACAAGCGAGGTATAGAGAGTCTTTGTTATATAGAAATATGTTCAGAAAACTTTAGCTTTGGGTCTTACATAACATACAGATCATCCACCAGGGTAATTCTCTCAAGAGAACCACCAAATAGGGTATTGGGGGCCAACAAGGGGCTAGAACGGTGAAATGTCATAATTTTGCATTTCGCGGCATTAAGGTGTAACAAGTTTGCACAACACCATGACTGAAAGCTATTGAGATCGGATTGCAAGCGAGAATGAAATGAAATTTCCTTGTACTGGACACAGAGTTTAAAATCATCCGCATACATAAGTACTCGAGAGTGTGTTAAGTCATTAATAAAGAGTGTGAAGAGTAAGGGGCCTAGATGGCTGCCCTGTGCTACTCCCGACGAAACCTTTACTGGTAAAGAGAGGGAGTTTTTGAAGAGGACTCTTTGAGACCTAGAACAAAGATAGCTAGAAATCCATCTCAGGAGGTTGGGCGGAAACCCTAAAAGGTCAAGTTCATGCGCTAAAAGGGAATGGTTTACAGAGTCGAATGCTTTACTAGAGTCGGTTGTAAATAACATCCGTCTGTAAGTTACCTTGAAAGCCTTTAATAATGAAAGAGGTAAACTCTAACAAGTTCGTGGTGGTTGATCGCCGCCTTATAAATCCATGCTGCGTGGGAGATATAAGTGACTTGCAAAGATGTTGCAAGTGCGGAGTTAATACCTTCTCAAACATTTTGGGAATAGCGGATAACTTTGCTATACCTCTAAAATTTTTTTGCGTCAGACTTGCTACCTTTTTTATGGCGAGGAATTATATTCCTTCCAGATCGGGGGAAGTCAAGAAGAATCGATGGACGGGGTGAATAGTTTAAACAAGGGTCCACACATAGCCTCGGCGCAGTACCTGAGTACACAACCTGGAACCCCGTCTGGACCCGGTGAAAACACCGGCTTAACTAGTCGAAGATCATGAAGTAAAGAACATTCATTTAACAAGGGACTGAAAATGCCTCAGAATAGGTGGTTTGGAAGAATTGGGCAAAAAGATCAGCAATTTCCTGATCATTATTTGCCGACGCATTACGAAATGATAGCTACGATGGGTGTGCGGAGGTTCTGCGTTTACTGTTTACGAAGCAGTAAGACTGTTTGGGGTCCTGAAAACAACGTATCCTGCATCGAGATAGGTAGTTCTTATAGCATTGAGCATTAAGAACTGAAAAGTTTGACTGAGCAAAAGTGAAAAGTAAAAGAACCAACTTCTTGAAATGTTGTATAAAGTCTTGATTTTAAGTTTTTAGAGTGAATAATTCTTTGGTAAACCAAGGGAGCTTTCCAGATCTAATCAGACAAGAAAGCGGGACACAGAATCAAAAAATGTGCCAAGAGCATTGTAAAAAATGGTTGTGCCTTTTATGACTTTAGTGCACAAGTACAAAGCGGACCAATAAAAATCCCTAATGATATTATTAAGCTTAAAAATGAATATAGGGGCATATAAGATTTTTGGTGGAAATGTACATATGAGTGTTTCGTCCAGAAGGAAGCGTTTCCAAGCTTTCGATGAAGCATTTTATTATTTAATGGATATTGTCTCGATTACACCTTTCCGACATTCAGTATCTTCTGAAAGTTTCAGACTAAAACTCATCTTTTTTTGTCAGTATTTATACCCGATACTCAAAATGAGTATTGGGGTATATTAGATTTGTGGTGAAAATGGATGTGTGTAACGTCCAGAAGGAATCGTTTCCGACCCCATAAAGTATATATATTCTTGATCAGCATCAATAGCCGAGTCGATTGAGCCATGTCTGTCTGTCCGTCTGTCCGTCCGTCCGTCTGTCCGTCCCCTTCAGCGCCTAATGCTAATGCGACTATAAGAGCTAGAGCAACGATGTTTTGGATCCAGACTTCTGTGATATGTCACTGCTACAAAAATATTTCAAAACATTGCCCCGCCCACTTCCGCTCCCACAAAGGGCGAAAATCTGTGGCATCCACAATTTTAAAGATACGAGAAAACCAAAAATCGTAGAATCGTAGAGAATGACGATATCTTTTAGACTGCGGAATCTGAATTGGATCGTATTATTATTATAGCCAGCATCAAGAAAACAATTTCATTTTTTCTCGCCCTGTCTCTCTCTAACACACACGTAGCATAGGCGGCTTTGCTTAGAGTAAAACATTAGCGCCTAGATCTCAGAGACTATTAAAGCTAGAGTAACCAAATTTGGTATCCGCACTTCTGTTAGATCTCACTATAAAACGTTTATCTCAAAATTTCGCCCCATCCCCTTCCGCCCCCACAAAGGACGAAAATCTGTTGAATCCACAATATTGCAGATTTGAGAAAACTAAAAACGCAGAATCATAGATAACGACCATATCTATCAGATTGCTGAATCTGAATCAGATCAGATCATTTTTATAGCCAAAGGAAACAAATCAATTTGCAGTGGCTACGCAGCGCGTGACGTCACGCTCAGACTGATTTTCTGTCTCTCTCGCACGCACTCTTTGTCGTGTCGTTTAATATTAGCGGCGTCTGCCGGAGGCGAGCCATACTGACTTAGTATCGGGTATAACCGTAGAGTTGCGGTGTCCGCAGCAACTCACAACGTTCCCCCTCGTTTTTTATTATCTTTTATAAGTTAAACAGCTCGCTCGGCTATATTATTACCCACTTTTGAAATTGTTTAAGAATTTTGATTTATTGATCTTAATTTTTATGCCATTTTAAAGGATCTTTAGTTAAAAAAGCCTTTTGAAATATTAAATCGATCGAATAATTTTAGCTGATAAGGTGTTACAAAATCAGTTAATCTCTTTGTACCAATCGTAGGCAAATCCTCATCGTTAACACAAAATGGCAAGAGCTGTTCCGCCATTTCTCATTTCTCCATAAAGGACACGTTATCGTTAATAAATGCAATCAGATAAATATCAGAAATGACTAAAAGTATTTTTTAGAACAACGTTTGCAATTTCCGAAACGTTTTTGAGCATACAATATATGAATAGTAAATTTAAAGTTCAGATTTTGAACTTCAACAGCTTATGTTGACGGAAACGAATAATGTATATAAAAACGCACTATGATAATAGATACGTCACGCAAATATTTTTCTTCTCGAGTCAATTTAAACTCATCTCGAACTCAGGTAACTGCACATTACTATAAAAAGTTGAATGTTAACTTTTATTTATAGATATCAATATTTCGATACATCAAGTACATAGCTGCCATAGGAAAATATTGTATTTTTCAACTTTGAGTTCAAGGAAGGAACATTTTTAGACCCTGATATCTTAACAAATTACACTGATATAAATAAGCCCAACAGTAATGCACAGAGTAAAGAATTTCGTAAATACAATATTGTTCAGACACCACATCTCATGACGCGAAGTCATCTGAAATAAGTCCTGAATTAGTTCGTATTATCTTGGGGAAGTGGAAACCGGCCCTCGGATATATCCGTACTCATCCTGCATTTAACATAGTCAAGCAGAAATTTGCTAACCTAAAACATCACAGCTTAGAACTAGTTGAAAGAAGTTCCATTAGTTGATTCATCAAAACTCTACTCACTATATAAGCACACAAGATCCCAACAACGATGGCGTAATAGGTGAAATCCTGATCTCTGAATACCTTGAAGCATGATTCCTTCACGTTGCTCCCATCATGCAGGCAGCTTTCGGGAAAATATTTTGGCTTTCCCAAATTCATGTATATATAGTACTCGGGGTCCATAAAGCCGCAGCAATTGAACTGTAATAAACCAACCTGAATGACCTTCAGAGCTAAAAAGTGGCGCCTGGAACGTACCTTCTCCTGCCAACGGAACATTGCAGCCGTGTTGTTGTTAGACTTTAGATCAGTCCATGCGTGAGCCAGGTTCTGCCAATTGGACTTGTGGTCCTGAATTCCCGTCCAAAGGAAATAGTAAGTCACTCCAAAGATAACCAACAGCAAGAGGTGGCAAAGGGCTTCCTTTTTAAAGAATGTTTCAACACAAATACTATTAGTTTTCCTGTGGGCACTCACCTGTTTGGATTGCTTATAAATATCCTTCAATTCCAAAAAAAACAGCCTCCATATTGTTAGTACAGAACAAAGTAAGAGAACGGCTAGCAGCAGATTGAAAATGATACGAAATAATCCACCCACTTCGACGTAGCTGGGAATGCCGATCCCAAAAATAATAAAGACCAACAGCTGAGGGAGAAGGTAAAAAAGCGACAGCAGTGTATTATGATTAATGATCGGAAGCGATAGATAACAGAAAAAAAGATAACCAAACAAAAAGTATTACCATCAACAGTAAATGCTGAACGAGGAGCAGGAAATTTGCGGGGCAACCCATTTCGAAGAAAGCTTACAAGCGACTGAACCGATTATCAAATATTTTTGCATTACTTAAAAGAAATTAGTGTTTCTGTCCTGATAAGATCCAACAGCAAAATATCAGTGAATCATTTAAATAGTCACAACAAACTTGTGTCCCGGTGATAATAAGTGTGACGGTATATGTGGGTTGGTGTACCAAATACCAAATGAAGATAAGATCCCTAGACGACGAGCAACGATGATCCCATCACTAAAAAGAACGACGAACAACGATTATGCCATCACGAAGAAGACGACGAGTAAAGAAGAGAGAAGCAGAGAAATAAAACGAGAACAGTACCGAAAAGACGTAAAAAACGACGACGGCCGCAGAAAAGAAGAATTAAACGACGCAAAATGAAGAATACTTTTATCCTAAATTTATCAAACATTAAATACAAATTAATTATTAAACCTACATACATACATACATATATGTAATTACTGTATGTGGGTTAGTATATACATTATTGGTCAGTGCTACCTACCTACCGTTTTGATAACATCAATCAATTGATGTTGTAATAATTATACCAGACAATAAAAAGTCTTTATTTGGCAATCCAAGGTACAATTTAAAAGTGTTGTCCAAAATATTCGATTACTCAAAAGCGCGTCCAATCAGACTGATATTCTCGAGCATTCTACACAAAATTTGAAGAGATTTCAGAGTCTATTCAAGTGGACAAGGTACGACAGCGGCGTCGTCCATACTTAAATGTTACGTCTAAGAGTACGGCGCACACGAATGTACCGATCTATAAGAGAAAGACGGAGAGTCGGCGAAATGCAGGCATAGGAAGTGAGTGCTCAATGAACCTACCTCAATCGCAAGAAATATCCACCCAGCCACCTTGGAACCCTTCAGGACTTGCACATAGAATTGGGTTAGCTCGGAAAAACAACCCTCTTCGTAGACTTTTGTCTTGCTGTTGGGATAAAAGCAGCTAAAGGGAAGTGTGAGATTCGCAGCGGTATAGTCTCCGGGCCCATTTATTCCGCAGCAATGCAACTATAATACATATGTACATAGAACGGGAAAGAAAAGTGAGCAATGTTATTTTACACATACATACTTTCGACTGGAGAATGGACATTGCATTGGTGTGGTTCTTTTCCTGTGCCCAGGCGGCGTCCAATTGATTTTTGGCCAGTGTTTTCTCGTCGGTGTGCCCAGCGAGGATACACAACAGGGTGATGGTTATGATTCCAGCAGCAAGCACGGTAATAGCATACTGAAAAGTGTGGAAAAGTTTCATTAGAATGTAGTTCAGATAGGGCTTCACTTACCGTCCAGGTCATGCACACATTCGCCTTAATAGCGCCAAGGCATCCGAGAAACGAGACCACGAACATGATCCCACCGACCAAAAGAAATAATATGAGAAAGGGTTTCCCCTCAGAACTCATCTCCTTGAGGGCCAGCGAATTTACCACCGCAATGACAAGGCCCAGAACCTACAAATAAATTCACAAAGGCATTGTATAAACACACACATTTTTATTATACACACAATATTAAAATTATATTTTAAATCCTCAAAAGCAAATAAAGCGGCTACTGGAAAAATAGTTGTTCCGTGGATAGTTTTGGTTGAAAGAAGATAACGAAATTTAATGAATTCGGCGCGGAATTCCCTTACGGAAAATGACTGATAATGTGTTTTCACTCACCGAACTTAAGGTATTGAATAGGAACACCATATACATTATTGTTACAGTACCACAGCCCATTATGTTCGATTTATATATAATTGATACAGTCAAATATATATGTACAAATGTTGATCAAGCTTTGATGAGAGCTCGCCAACGTCTAATACTGGACTGAATAACTATACAAACTAGAGCTTTGTTTACGCTTCGAAGAACAGAACAGGTCATAACAGATTTCAATTGAATCAGCCACAAGGCAGAAATCCTTCCGATATCCAAGGCGAAAAATATGCTTGTGGCTTTCGCAACTCCCGTCTGACTCACAGTGCAAGTCGCGTCAGTAATCGGTAGGGGCAAGTCCATCTCGGGTCTGCGGTTACGCCTTCTTCTTAGCAATGATCCTAAATATAATATGTATGATGATGGAAGTAGTAGTGTAATAGTTGTCAGTTACAAAATCGTCATTATTTGTTTTCCAGAAGTTTCCATTCCTGCCTGTAGCGCCATTTGGCTTTTAATTTGTATTAGAATAAGATCGAATTTGATGAAGTCTAGTGTAAGTTAGGCTAGGGCAAATCGGGAGCGAAATAAAAGCTCGCTCTCTCGCTCTTGGCGAATTCGTCCCGCTTTGCCACCGTAGGTACGATAGGCTTAAAAGAAATTGTTTGAATACAGAGAAATCGACAAAATCTGTTGAAAACGAACGCACGCACTTATTATTTTTTCGTCGTAAAATTCATTAATTTGCAGCCACCCAAAGTTTTCCGTATTTCATATTTAGAAAAACTATTCTAAAATTTCAGTGCCCTTATCAGTTCTTTTCTTATTAATTTCTTTCTACTCGTCGTACTTCATCGGCTAATTAGCCGCTAACGAAGAAATATAACAACGGACAGGAGGTGCACAGAGCATCGTCATCAACATCGATAGTTTCAAGATAGCCAGATAAAAATACGAAGCAACGCAGAACAGATCAAATTAAGAACTCTATAAATATTTTCAACTCTTATTAGCAATTACACTATAGTACTACTCGAAAAGCCATCCCTTCCCACTCGCATCTTCTTTTAATTCTCCCTTACGATGGGGTCATTACGAAATTTCGTCTACTAGATCACGGAATGAAAATAAGAACCATCTGTAAAGATACAAGCGCTAAAGTTTTACAAGCCGTACATTTTAAAGAACAAAAGGAAAACAAAATTAAAATTAATTAAACACCAAATAAAAAGGATTTTAAAGATAAAACTGATGAAAAAACCCAAATGCTATCTCTGTGGAAAGCCTGGTCATTTGAAGAAGGACTGTTTAATTTTTAAAAGATTAAGCAGAAATCAGAATACGAATAATAATGCAAAGGAACACAAGGTCAAGTAGCAACAACTCATGTAGACCGTGGATTTGCTTTTATGATGATGCAGGGGATTGATTCCTTGAACGAAAACGAGATTCAGGAGGTTCGTAGCATTTAAAAAAGTTGTTTTGGCGATACAATTACAGAAAAAGCTCGCCCCATGGATATTGGAACTAAACTGAAAAAAGGTATTTGGGGCCAATGCAGTTTTATTTATTTAATAAATAGATATCAAACTGGAGCTTTAAAAGATGTTAACAAAAAAAAGCATTTGAAATGAGGCATAATAAATTTATTTAAATTTAAATTCATTAATGTTACTTTTGAGGAAAGAAGACTTGAAAAATGTAAAAAGATGAAGTACAAAGGAGAGAAAGGAACAAGCCGAATATTGCAATGGCATCATATACTCATTTTTTAGCTCTTTGCTTCTCTCTCCTCAGTCGAGCTCACTTTTTTCTAAGCGACGAGTGCTTGCAGTTGAAAAGATAAAATAAACTAATTATCTAATACTGCTTATCGGTTAGGTCTGCGCATCGGCCAACATCTATTTTTCATCTCGATCAAATTACTCCTTCAGGTATCTCCCAAACACCTATGTCTTTTTTTTAGAGGTACCCGAAGGAGTGGTCTGATGGGGTCAAGATTTGGTATGCATAATTTATTTACACGCAATTATGTTTTGACAAAGTTTATTCAGATTGATTAGTTTTGAGGCTTAGCATCGTGCGAAGCGCCCATCACCATCTGGAGCTGCAGCACCTGTAAAACCCAGACAATTGTTACTACGATTACCAAGGTAATCTCGCCAATCTGAGCGAAAAGCAATAGAATTCAATAGAATTTACTTATTTAATTATCATGAACTCACAATCCTTCTAAGTAATAAGAGCACAGATTAAATATATATCTTCAAGAAACAGATCTACCCTGCAACAGTAAACATATAATTTGCCCCAAGCAATACTCTAGTTCACCAACTTAACATTTAATATAACGACTAAGCAGAGGGTAGGGATTCTTTTCAAAAGACATCTGCCACACGGTGTACATGCCAGCATACTCCACTTCAACCGCCTGCACATTGCAATTCACCTAAACATAACTCAACCACTAACAATACTTGACAGCTACATTACAAGCGACATTCAGACCAAGCTTTCTCTGACAGCGAGTTACTTTCAATTATTATTAAGTACAGTAGCAATCTTTTTCCCGATCAAGACGCAGTTATTCTTGTTATATCAACAAATGTCTTTTGCCATCACACAGACAAAGCTCCAACCTTAGAAAAAACAGATACGATGTGGAATAAAAACCTATGCAAATTGAGACAAATTAAGCAAACACTTTGGCATAATTGTAAATACAAAATGACCGATGCGAACTTCTTGGTATATAAAAGAGCAAATCCTTTAAACGTGCTCCATTAAAGAAGCAACGCACTTAAGTCACAGTTTACAACAAAATAAATTTGGCCTGATGTAAATCTCTTGTGGGAATCTCCGAAGCATTAATGCCTTCCCAACCTCTCCTATAAAATGCATTCTGGCCAACTATTGAAGATATAATAATAGCAACGGATATCCGTCAAGCAAAGGAAAATATATCTCTCCACCAGTGGTGTGGCGTGTAGAAACTAACTCATCAACATTTTTTTTACCGTTCTTTTCCGTTTTTTTGGAGCTTGGATCTATACCATATTTAACAGCACTTTTACTGTCTTTGCGCTTACAAAATTCGAAGTTATTGCGTATCTTTAAAAGAGGTTAAAAAAAAAAATCTGAAATTCAACAGAAGTTCTAACGGCATCTTGTATCATTAAATTGAAACTATGATTGCCGCAATGTAGAAAATTGTTGGAAATACATTGTCCTCCCTAAAATAAGTCGTTAGAGATTTGTTTTCTCGTAGTAAAATTAAGTAGTAAAATTAAGGTTGGCTGGTCAGAGAGCGGTGCCCCTCGGCTTAGAAAAACCCGAGATTTCCAAGAAAATCCAAACTAACGGCGAAACAATACGAAAGCTATTTGCTAGGGATCCATTTTATAATAGCCGAAGTTGGTTGTTTACTGTGGCAACGAAAAGCCACCACAATACGAAATATTTTTTAATTTTAATCCGATAGTAGCTCAAATATGGGAATTTTTAAAAACTCCTCTGAAACTTTATGTTTGTTGGGTTCGAAGTCATAAACGGATCATAGATATGAACTGGCACATGCTGCAGCAAAAGCATTGTCTAACTATCAATCTTTCAGTGTTACTCCGTCCGCGAAAAGGACATGTTAAAATTCATCCTAAACACATTTTTATACCCGATACTCAAAATGAGTATTGGGGTATATTAGATTTGTGGTAAAAGTGGATGTGTGTAACGTCCAGAAGGAATCGTTTCCGACCCTATAAAGTATATATATTCTTGATCAGCATCAATAGCCGAGTCGATTGAGCCCTGTCTGTCTGTCCGTCCGTCCGTCTGTCCGTCTGTCCGTCCCCTTCAGCGCCTAATGCTCAAAGACTATAAGAGCTAGAGCAACGATGTTTTGTATCCAGACTTCTGTGATATGTCACTGCTACAAAAATATTTCAAAACTTTGCCCCGCCCACTTCCGCCCCCACAAAAGGCGAAAATCTGTGGCATCCACAATTTTAAAGATACGAGAAAACCAAAAACGCAGAATCGTAGAGAATGACCATATCTTATAGACTGCGGAATCTGAATTGGATCGTATTATTATTATAGCCAGCATCAAGAAAACAATTTCATTTTTTCTCGCCCTGTCTCTCTCTAACACACACGTAGCATAGGCGGCTTTGCTTAGAGTAAAACATTAGCGCCTAGATCTCAGAGACTATAAAAGCTAGAGCAACCAAATTTGGTATCCACACTCCTAATATATCGGACCGAGACGAGTTTGTTTCAAAATTTCGCCACACCCCCTTCCGCCCCCGCAAAGGATGCAAATCTGGGGATATTCACAAATCTCAGAGACTATTAAAGCTAGAGTAACCAAATTTAGTATCCGCACTCCTGTTAGATCTCACTATAAAACGTATATCTCAAAATTTCGCCACACCCCCTTCCGCCCCCGCAAAGGATGCAAATCTGGGGATATTCACAAATCTCAGAGACTATTAAAGCTAGAGTAACCAAATTTAGTATCCGCACTCCTGTTAGATCTCACTATAAAACGTATATCTCAAAATTTCGCCACACCCCCTTCCGCCCCCACAAAGGACGAAAATCTGTTGCATCCACAATATTGCAGATTTGAGAAAACTAAAAACGCAGAATCATAGATAACGACCATATCTATCAGATTGCTGAATCTGGATCAGATCAGA